CCAACAGCACTCATACCAAACTAGCAGGGAGCCATGCATGTTGCCACTCATAGCATGGAATACCACATTTCCCCTAGTGGGTAGTGACTGCAACTTGTAGACATACATCGTGTCTGTCAAAATAAATTTTACTCATGACATGTACACATGTTGTTTGCACAGGGTTTTTCGTCCACGTGTACATAGGTAACACGCATACAGATTGTTTGACAGGTAGACAGATAGACAGCCGGGCAGGCAGGCAGGCAGGCAGCCAGGCAGCCAGGCAGCCAGGCAGCCAGGCATATAGTTAGGCAAACAAGTACAGACAGATTGGTAGAACTTTAGGTGAATGGTTGATTGACAGACAGATGGATTGAACGATACTGTGGATGACTAAATCCTGCACCACTTCGAAGGCATGAGAAACCATTTTTTGCTAGTATTTGCAGGGGAACCATCTGACACCAGAATTGTGTAGGCGGTGAGAAATGGCTGTGGCTCAAAAAAGTGGAACCCATGTTTGGGCCCCTTGGATGCAAATAAAGACCAAAATCTGCGGTTTGCCCCAGCCCTGAAATTTTGAGCTACATCCAAATGGATTGCAACCATCAGTATGTGGAGCCCCTAGATGCATCAGAAGCCCAGTCCGTTGCAATCGGTAGGTCAGCAGCCCGCAGCAATGGGCGGAAGGATCCCGGATCGGATCGGATCGGATCGTTTTCTGTGTAGCTCCTCTTTCAAAGGTGGCGGTGTACCCAAAATGGCTTGCCCTGGTAAATGGAAACATGGACCAAAACCTGCGGTTTGCCCCTCCGGTTGAATTTTGAGCCACACCCATATCCAGGTATCTCGGCGGTTCCCAGCCGTCCGGTTCCTTGGGTTTTTAGGCCCTTTCGATTTTGAAAGGTATACTTTCAGCAGGGGATCTGAGGACACGGTGGTTGGAGGTGCGGAAGCTTACCATCAGCTTGTAAGCATGCCTCCAAAACCCATACTTGAAAATGAACTTGAGTCTTGTTTTTTTTACTCACTTGCAAAAAGCGAATCGACCCGAAATGACATTCTCCAAAAGGCGACCACATTGCATGTCCAGGCCCTTTGGGCAGGTGAGTTGTTTTCTGAGGCTTATTTTTGTTTACTGGTAATGGATCCACTTTGAGCGGGGTTGCAATGGGGGCCTTTCAAGAATGACCAAGCCTTGAGGATACTCCGACGCATCGGTTTCCGCACGATGCGTGGGAACGTTTGGCTCGGTTGCGAACATGTCATGGATTTGAGTCTGCTGTTGAGCTTCCCAGCGGATGGTCAATTTGGGTCTTGTAACATTGGGGGCCACGATATAGTTGAGCCACAAGAGCTAGGGCCTCTCAGTATGCTTCCAAACCAGAAAAAAGAAACCGAGGGCTCACAGGGTGCCCGCTAAATCACAGAGACCAGGACCTACTAAAATAGACACCAGAAAAAAGTGGGTACCCTTATTCTAACCTCTCTACTGGAGGACCTAGGGTCAGCGCTCAGATTCTTCGCCGTTCAGGAGCCGAACGCCGTGGACGAGGACGCCAAAGGCGACGCTTCACCGATTTTCCTGGCCCAAATCCCTTTCTCGGCTCTTCAGTGGTCCGTTTTCTTACATTCGCTTAAGAACATGTGTTATTTTCCCTTGTCGGTGTTAAAAGGAATCTATCACTGCGGTTGTTTTTTTCCTTCGGGTGTCTTAATCAAATGCACGTTTTTCTGTCTCCCTGAGTTCGTATCTAGGTCCCCCAGCTAGGTGCCCTTTTCTTCCCCTACAAACTAACCTCTCTACTGCAGGACCTAGGTACTATTTTGGGGCTGGACCAATTTAGTGGCATACAAAAAGTTTCGACTGCTTTGGGACATGCGCCCAGGAAGTGAGTTGTTGGGACAGGCACCTCTTTGGGGTGCAATTAAAGGGAACCGGATGAGCCGCAAAAGCCCCTGCTTGATTTTGAGAGATGGGTGTCCCCCTTCAGTGGGGATTCAGAGAGATAGAATTGCAACACCTTTTGTCGCCATCTTTCACAGGCAAAAAGCAGACAAAGAGACAGGGTCCCTGGGTTGTTCGATGTTGTTCGGTGGCACTTTGCCTTCTGCCCATTTTGGTGGGCTCCGGACCGCCCCCCGTTTACAGGTTCCCACCGTGACTGGTTGCAAGGCGATGCATATATGCATACCCTCCAGTCCAGGCTGCCAGGACTCTTTATCAGGTTCTAGGGTGGGAGGTTCTTGAAACCGGGCCTTAGTCGATTTGGTCCCCCTTCTAGTTCTAGGGGTGTCCCCATTCTTTGCAGAGATGTTTCCTTCTAGAAAACCCGCACAACCAGGGACAACGTCTGGTGTTTGGAAAGAGGAATGGTTGAACAGAATGGAAAAGACATGAACCTTAGATGAATTGTAAAACAGAAAGCTTGGTTTCCCTTTTTTCCAATCCACTCGTTCGGAGGAAAGATAAAGATGACGTATTTGTCATGTCGGTTTCCCACGACCCAGTTGAAACAGACTTCCAGGCGACGGGGAGAGCCTGTCTGTGAGGGTTCGGGCTCTCAGCGGGGCTTGGAATGTGGTCCAAAGACCATGCCCCAATCTGGGGGGAATTTCGATCCTTACTGTGGATGGACGAAATCCACAGCTTGCTTTTGTATTTGCAGGGGAATCAGAACCCAGGGATTCTCAAGTACAGAGTGTCTGCAAAACGGAAGAGTAACAAGCCGTGTTCGCTCGGGCGCACCTGAATTTGCTTGTGTGCAGCCTTAAAGTCAAAGCTAGCGCCTATGAAGGAGGCATGCGTGTCTCCCGGCATGAATGCGAGGCGAACATCGGATGCCATTGGCAATGCAGGATTTTGTCCATCCACAGTATGAATTCCATTTATGGCAGCCAATGGGGAACCCCACCCTTGGGGCCTCCCCCCTTACGGGGACGCTGGATGGACTTTGTGGGGAACTTAGACAGCTATCGGAGCCATGACGTTCGAGGTGGCCAGGGGTCACTTGATCAAAATACTGGTGGTTTCCCTGGAAACTGCCACTTTCAGACTCAGTTGTTCAGTGGCTCCCTTTTTCCCCTTGTTTTTTGTGGCTGCCCCACTAAAATGGTCCAAGCCCCAAAAAGAATTGGTTCCCTGTTTTTCCAGGGTCACTGAACAACTGAGCAGAGGTTTCAATCAGGGAACTGGAGAACCCCTGGTAGTCCTGACCCAAGTCTCGCACCCAAGTCTTGTGGGACCCCGACCTTTGCCATTGTTTCTTTTGGTATGTGGCGAAGGCCTTTGTTTCTAGTTATACGATGGTGCGTTTGTGTGTTGAGCGGGCACTGATTTTGGTTCAACGGGGAACCAGGCGACAACCACTATGCCATGATTACATGCCCATTTGCCTGGCAAAGTTTGAGGGATGAGCACAAGAGCAGGAAGTGGACGGTCAGCTCACCGCGAACCATTGCACAAATCAGTAAATTGGAGGTTTCCAAGCACGACCCGAATGCCCTGATTTGACATGCCGCGCACTGAACCTGTTTGTTTGCCGAAGATCGCTGAATTCAGGTCTGTGATAGACAGCACTAACATGGGCCGTGCATGCATGTATACTACACAATGTATGCACACACGGGCATGCACAAACAGTTCCTTCTACTTTGAATAGACATAGACACTGGCACAAATGTAAACTGTCCATGCCATTAGCAAACAATACTGTGTGTTGCTGCCTTTCCATATTTCCTCACTAGTAGCCCAGCCTGCGCCGGTCGCCTGCGTTGGCCCTCAACCACTGCACGTTTTGTTTTGTTCCCACACTTGCTGAGTGCCGACCTCTTATCCTTTTGTCTTTTCCATGTTGGAACATTCCAGGGTCCAGTGGACAGTCCTTGCCGGAGAAATCGCGGCGGCGACAGCGATGGGGTTACAGCGAATGGGATTGGGGGGCGTCCCTGCATGTTGGAGGACGCGATTCCAGGCAATGATTTCTGGCCGCTGTTGGGTATTGGGGGCAATGTTGACCCCGGATCTAGGTAGAACCTGTCCTACTGTTAGGGGGGGTGTTTCCCGTCCAAACGTGGTCTGAACTCCCACTTCAGGAGGTTGCCCCCCCGGCCCCTCAACATCAACCAGGGCTTCTGCTTAATCCGGGGTCAACATGAGGCACAGGAGGCATGCGCTTGCTTGGATTATTTCTGAGGAAAAACTGCAACTTGGACCTGGCACCGATGCAATGCCCGCACCAGATAGATGGCATGGCTCAAGGGGTGTCATCCATCCGAGGTGCGGGATGTCGTATATCCACTGCATGATCTTCCATGTTTTTTTTGGGTGGTGGGGGCAATCACACTTGTTCAAAATAAAAGAGGTTGTCTCTTTCAGGAGTTATTCGAAATCGGCTGACATCTTCCACTCGGGGCTGGGTAATGAAGCATCCTGCTTTCAGCCAAAAGCTGTCCTTTCAGCAGATGTTGGACCTGTCGAATATATGGGTCCATCCTTTTTTGGAGTTGGTACCCCTTGTTTCGTTGGTTTTAAAAGAAGAGCCAAAGGACGCCGACCATTTCATTGGGTTACCTCAAAGCCTCAAAGCGCACGCACACATATTCAGCCGTGACCCTGAATGAACCAACAAGCGCGGAGTGTCTTGATTCCAGGCCCAGCAAGATTCAGTCAGCACGGGTTCAATTCCCCGACCAGCCCAAACCCACCAACCCAACCGCCTCCTGCACAACTTCCTGGGCATATTTGTTTTCCAATTTTTGGGAACCTATATCACATCCGGACCCAGCTATCACATCCGGCCTTTGCCTTTTCCCGACCTTTCGCTCAGCACCGAAAAGCACCGGATAGCACTGGGTGAATTATGACGACCTCACACGACCTCAACCCAAATGTTGGTTTATGTGGGGAATAGCCCCCCAACCTCCAGGTTGGTGATTATTTTGTCCTCTTGGATTTAAAGGGAATTTATCACTACCGGACATGTTGTTTTTCTTATTGCCAGGTGGCTTAAGCAAATGGAGGGATAGCCGGGAGGATTTTCCGGCCACCACTTGGGATGGCCTGTGCGCAGCCGCCTTCTGCAGCTCCACCCAGAGGGGTCGCAGGTGGGGCTGGGCCGGCATGGCTTTTCTTCGGGGCAAAACGCGAGGTGTCAAGTCTAGGTCCACCAGTGGTGCCCTTGTACCCATTTTTGTTGGGGGGGAAGGTTCCCCTATCAAAATAAACCACAAAAGAAAGGGTCTCTATTTTTGTTTGGGGTTTTGGGTTCCCCTACTGGAATAGACTACAGAAGAAAAAGGGGGTACCAGCTTATTCTAACCTCTCGACTGGAGGACCTAGAAGTGTCACCCTGAGTTGGTGGTTTGGATTCGTGGTTTGGGGATGGCTTGTGTAGAGGGTAAATGGGCAACCCGTCCTTAACGACTAGACCGCCAATCCAAAGCAGACTCAGAATAGGGACAGGAAACCTTCAAGAAACCGGTTGAGAACAGGGAGCCCCCGTCTCAAAGAGGAGATGCTCCACTTTTGGGGCCCCGGCCCAATCTAACCACCCAACCTGCCAGGTGCTTTTTGGGCGGGTGAGAGTAAGAAGTGCAGAGTTCCATCAATCTTCCGCGCGTGAAGCAGCTATATACCGTGACTCTGGCCAAGCCTTGTTCTGCTGGTTCGGCAGGAAAGCGATGAAAAAGCTGCCTTAGATTACGATCAAGCCTTGTCCTATGGCGGGGCCCGATTCCCATGTTCGGCCAGCTTCATGCTAAAATGCTACAGATGCGAGGGTTCTGTACTGCCCTAAAATTAAAGCAACTTGTAGCCTCCATCCAACATCCATCCGAAGGACGACCGGATCCCTTCAAAAAAACATCCAACCCTACCAGTACCAATCAATACACCTGGCAGAAAAAGAATCCCTGGGGAGTCGAACCCACCAAATCCAGCCATGGCTTCGCGCCTTTTGATTCGGGCATAGCTGCGGCCGACTTGTAACCCTACTGGGCTTGAGATACTGTGGATGGACGGAATCCAACATGAAACCATTTTTGAAACCATAACGTTTGTTGGCATTTACGTTGGGGAATCGAATCATTTCAAGGCTTCCCACTGTGGGATACAAGTCCTACTAGGTGTCGGACCCGTTTGTTTTTTGAAAACCCCAGTATTCTGATTCGCCTTTCGGCTCGTTTGTGGTTGAGTGCAAACGACAAAGACTGGTCCCTGAACAATTCAGCAAGTAGCATCGTGTATGTTGAATTTTTGACGGCTTACTGAGTGGTTAGGAGCTAAGTTAGCAACCGTGGTTCTAAGCAACTGACTTAAGGGACTTACATCGTTGGTCAGCGGATTGTACCCTCGGTTAGGTAACCACCTACCTGATGCACCCTGCTCCTCTCTGCAAAGAAGCGCTCATTGTCACGGCAAAGCACGGCTATGCCACGAACAAATGCGGAAGACAAGGGCCTGGGTGCCAAACAACCCGTTGCTTGCAATCTTTCAGTCAGGAAAACCCACAAGGAACACATTGCATGGGCCGCGCAGCGGACCATTAACATGTACCCTCTTTTGGACAACCATTGTCGCTGTTGCTGTCATCGTCCAACATCCAAGACTACTTGCCCGGTGGGCAACCCGGTAGTCTTTTTTCGGATCTGTTTTTTCAGACCCCCTGCTCGTGCGCTGCCCAAAAAGCAGCCTGAGTCGACTGGAGCAGCTTGAGTGCTAACGGGAACCGGGTGAAAAAGGGGCGGGTCTCACCTACTTGGGTCTGTGTTAAAATGGGAGGGGGGGCCTTGCGAGCTCAAAAAACATTGGTTTCCACGTTGGTTCCCCCTCAATAAATGCTTTCCCCTTCAAGGGTAGGTCCCCCACTGCCCTTCTCACCCCTTTTTTTGGTTGTGGTTTTGGGTTCCCCTACTAAAATAGACAAAACCGAAAAAAAATAAGAAAAACTAGTTGGTACCAACTTATTCTAACCAAAAGACGAAAATCGAGCGAAGACCGAGCGAGAGCAGGCATCCACAGCGCGGGGCCGCGCCGGCGCGCCGGCTTCTCTTGGCGGCTTCCGCGAGGCGGAGAAGGGACGCCGAGGGGTTCGGCTTGGGGGTGGCCTAGGGGTTTAGGGTTTTGGTTTGGTTTGGGTATAGGTATTAATTTCTGTTTTTGGAGTTCGCCCCCTTTGTCAGGTACCACCCTGCGTTTGTGGTTTGGGTAGGTGGCTTGGGGATTTGAACCAGGCGGCCAATGGGAAACCAACCCAAACACCTACAAACCACCAATCCATACCACTAATTAAAGATACGGTGACTTTTTGGTGTATGTTCTTCTTCTTTTCGGAAAGTGGAAGGAAACAACCCCTATTTTTGAGGCCCCCCCTAGTTTGACACAATGGGCTTGTCTCAAGGGAATCTGTAATCCTTCCAACCGTGCCCTCTCATGATTTCCACTAGTTGTTAGACTGGATGTATGCCCGATCTATGTTATCAGAAGGACACCTGTGGGTTCCATTTCGGACTTTATTCACGTTTTGAGTTAACCTACCTTTGAGGAAATGTATGCTGCGACAAGCAACAAGTTAAACCTGCACAAAGGACAATAGCCGGGTCTGTTTGATTGGGTATGCGGGCGTTTTTGATGGCCCCCTACCCCACCTAAAGCTTCTTAAAACCGTTGGGTTGGGGGGTGGGCCTTGGGTTTCCGTTCAACTATATCGAGGTTAAATCACCTTTGGGTGAGAATCAATTGAAAACCGTGCTTTAGCTTGCGACGAAGCAGCTGACAATGCCAAAGAAGGAGCACGGCTGGGTTGTCTGGGCCGACGAATTTGTCTTTGCATGTCTGTTCTGGGCGAGATTCGCAAATGCCTGTACTTGTCAAATGAAAAACATGTTGTTGCTTGTTTAATGCACGGACGTCTTCTTAAAAATGGTATAGAACTGTGTAAAACCCATGTACTGTTTACTGAACAAAGGTCACGGAATCGTTTTGGCCGCCTTTTTCTTTCACAACTGCCTGGCTTCGGCGTGCCGGCCATGACAGTCTCCAAATGGTTTCCCTTTCGCGACTAGAACTGGGACCGCTCACATTTAGCAAGCTCTTCGGACAACATCCAGCACCAGAATTCAGCTAGGCCCTGAACGGTGCTTAACAGTTGGTCCTATCAGAATGCAGACTTTCGTGGTCCCGTTCCACAGAACTTTGTCGCAGCGCACGTCGCGCGTTTTTTTTTTTTTTTTTTTTCCTGCATGACGCTCATAGTGATTTGCCCAAGGAAGTTTCAAACATGCACGCAGCGGCTCCCAAGTTTCGGGCATCATTCGCCCACTGTCTTCTGCCTGAAAAAGAAGGACACCTTCTCGGGCGAGAGCGGCCTGGGACTTCCGAAGCCAAGCTGGGACTTCTGGCCCGGGCCCCAGAGGCGATGTTTCAATATTGATGGAGAAAGGGTTATGAGCTATGACCAACATGGGGTGGTTATGACCAATGACCTAAGAGGCACTAGCTGCAATGCATAGGTCGTAACCAATGGGCATTTGGTACAGCCCCCTATCGGTCTGCAAAATGGCGCCCCTTGTCTCTTCTTTTTTCTTTTGTGAGGGGGTGGAGCAGCCTGTATCAGCAGAGCTTCGTATATTTGTTCTCCGTTGCTTGTTTGAGACTGTTTTCAGGAGCAGTGAAATTTGCTCGCCAGCTAGACCTCGTGTGACCTTTGTCAATTGTCTTTCTAGCCAGGTTCTAACAATGATTACAATGAGGATGCGGGTGCATCTTTTTTTTCTGGGCCACCCGTCATTTCTCCTGGTTTCCCTTCAAAACCAACCAAAAAGGGGTGCCCTGAAAAAAGAGACGACACCCCGAGTATGAGGCTCGGTGGCAGGTGGAGCCAGTCGCTGAGGCCACGGCCGGCGGTGTTGCTCGGTGTCGAAGACACGGAGTAGCCCCGCGAGGCGCGGCCCAGAGATCTCATGGCTAACTACCCCCTCGCTGACTACCCGTTACCCGCCCCTCCTGGAAATAGGGATAGCCCCTTAAGGCCTGAGGGTCTTAATCATCCCTTATTTTTTTTCAGTCCGCAGAATAAGTCCAAAATACCATGGACATCTGGCTTTGTTTCTTGGCGGTTCCCAGGCATACCCTTCGACTCTTGGAGTTCAGCACCATTTTGTTCTGCACATCCCGTGCAAAAAACTTTGACTCTTAGCAAGGGCGCAACGAACGAAGCTATTCGGAGTTGGTTCCTAGCTTTAGGCTGTTGTAAACGGAGGCCTTGTCGTTATGCGAGTCTGTTGCTGTGGAGCGGGTAAGAGAAATCGGGCCGGGCTCCATAGGGGTGGGAGGCCAGCGCTGAAACCTGCTTGGTTGCAATGAAAGGTGCCCAAGCTTTTTGGGGCTTTGACTTTCTGGGAAACAGTGGGTATTCCATTGGACCCACAAAAGAGGAGAACTTTTTGCGGAGGGTTCGCGCCAGGAATCGAGTAAGGGTTGCTACGCTCATAACGGCGTCTTCGAAAGGTCCCGCAAGTTCAAGTGCTGGGCGGTTTCATCTTCACAGCGCGAAGCTGCGTTCAACTCCCAGGGCTGTGCTTGACCTTTTGAGTCTTGGAAGGTGGCCCCACAAAAACCTCGGTAGCATAAATAAAGCAAGGCCTCGTTTTTGTTTTTTTTTTGGTCTTGGTTTTTTGGAGATTTCTGGTTGTTGAGGCTCCTGGTCGGAAACGCTCTTTGATGTTTTTTAGCTTTCTTGGTCTTGGTGTCCGCTTCCACCCTGCAAATCGGGTCTTGGCAGCGTTTGTGAGCTGCCTTTGGCAGGACATCGTTTCCCAGAGGAGATGATCCACTCACTCCCGAATCCAGTTTCGGACTGTTCCGCTTTTTCGGTTACTACCATCTTCCATTTGCTTAAGAATATGGTTTATTTTCCCTTGTCGGTGTTAAAAGGGTTTTATCACTACTGGAAATATGTTATTTTTCCAGGGGGCTTAAAGAGCTAGAGCCTTGCGGAGCTAGGAGATCTGTATGGACGCGGAACGGCTCCCTTCCAACAGCTAGGGTTTGGTCCATGGTGAAAATGCTGTTGAATCCACGGAAGAGAGTCCAGCCCCGATCCGGCGAATTCCCCCTAGGTGAACACGACCAAGAGCACGAACCCCACCCAAGCTCGAACGAACAAGCAAACAAACGCACCAGCAAACAAAGAAACACATACATATCCGGGTCACTGTGGCCATCTTAAGGGAGGCGGGTCTCGACTCCTCCTCATCAGACCCATGCGCACCGCGCCTGTTCTCCCGAGAATGGGCCATGAAGCGCCAGTGTGGGCCATGAAGTTGTGCGCATTCTCAGATGACGATAGGAGCAGACCTTATTTGAGGCTTTTGGGGGTTCAAACCCCTCATATGTAGGGTCTTTGGGCTCCTAGGGGATGTTATCAAAGTCATCTTGTCGGTTGATAAACCTGGATTTTGAGAGATGGGGCCGTCCCCCAAGGCCGGGTCATGCCGGGTCTCCAACCTGCATTCTGGTCTATAGAAGCGGTATGCAATGGGTAAACAAAGGTGTAAAGGGGAATCAAAGGGCCGTATATGTTCTGCAGACTTTCGAGCGCAGAAAGCATTTGCCCGCCTGGAAGTTGGATTGGCGGCCGAGGCCATGGTGGCCAACACCTTGTGCAACGCCAGCAGTTCACCCGACCCCGAATTTGGTTTGGCCGATGGCCCCCTTCCATCTAACCTGAAAAGGGCACCCTCACAAGAAAACACACCCATAACGTTGACCCAAGATGAATCAACCCGAGTTGATGAATAGGGTGGTGTCCCGGGGTTAGTGGGGAAGCAGACCACTTTTGTAGGGGTTATCCCTCACCCCCGCAGTAATAACTTCCATTTGGTCAATATTGTTTTGTTGCCCCTGTTGGTTTCCCGTAGGGAATCTCTCACTATTTTTTTAATCGGGGGTTCTGCTTGCATCCAAGGTCAACACGTTTGGCTATCCCAAGGCTAGTTTGTTGAAGCCCTAATCCCAATGATTAGCGGATTGCGGATGGTGCGGTTTCCGGATGAACAAGATTCGCAGCCAAAACAAGGATGAAACGGATTACGGATTGCGATTAGGCCCCCAGGATTTCGAGCAGGCAAGGGTGGCTTTGCAAAAGCCATTGCCTCAAGCTATTGGTTGAAAGGGAGCCGGACGGAGGGAGCTGGGACCCAGAATTTTCCAATTTGCTGGGCTAAATAGGGAGCAGGACTGTTACTCAAAGGGGCAGGGTACTTGTACACTAAGTGGGGAAAAACTATGGCTACAACCGACTTAGTATGGTTGCAAGTCTCCGTGCAGTGGGTTATAACCATGCGCCCCTTTAAGGGACATGGTAGCCAGGTTTGCTGGAGATCTTGCTGCCGGCTTTACAGGCTCGAGATCCGGCGGAATGGGGGAAGTTCTCAGGGTCCCATGTCCGTTTTTCAGGTCTTTGCGGGTCAAAGGAGCTGATATTTGGGGTCTTGGGCTCCTAGCATATTGATTTTGGGCTTAAGTGAAAGTTGTTTTTCCCCCAGTTGGTTTTAAAAGGATGTGTTCATTATGTTTCCAGGGGCCTCAAGCAAATGGAGTTCATCCGCCTATTCTAGGCAAGCTAAAGTGGCTCGCCATGGTGAAGGCCCTTTACATCACAGGCTTTGGATATATTGTTTCTTTGTTTAAAGCAACACAATATACACTTTGGATTGTGTTCTTCATTTGCTGCGTTGTTTACAGGAACTCCAGAGCTCCCAGCGCCAAGACAGTGATCTGAGTTTGAACATCCGCCAAATCCGTTTGGTTCAGAGCAGTGGTTTCGCTTCATGTCGGCTGATTTTTGTCCATTGGGTTCAGGGCTCGGTTTCTGGGCCCCCCCGAGAACCGGCAAGCCGCTTTAGCGGCTTGGTTTCATGTGGCCCTTAGGGCAGCAGGCCCTCGGAACGGGCGGTGTCCTTTTTTGGGTTCCTTTTGGAACCAAACAGGGCGACCCCTCCAAGAAGACACTCGTCTTTAAGAGGAAGAAAGTTTCGTCAGATTCCGGCCTTGCAGTAGTTGTGCAAAGCTAGCACGTTGAATGGCGGGCTTGCACAAAAAAAGGTCCTCTTTTGCAGTGAGCGAGATTTTGATGTGACTTGGGAAATGCGCTTTGGCAGGGGGGGAGGAGAATAAAGCCACCAGCCTTGGAACAGGTGAGTAGCCAAACAACCAACGGGTTATCATGCTTGCTTCACTGTTGCAGGCATGTGTTTGGGTGTTTTGGTTTTTGTTCACTGTTGGTGGGCGGCTGCAAAAAGCAAGTTATTTAGGGCTTCAGTGGTTTTGACTGAAGGGGCTGCAGAAAGATCTTTGGAACGCTGTGCGGCAGGCAAATGCGATGTGCAAGAAAGGGCTGGCTTCCCTGAAGGAGGCTTGTGATTGTCGAGCACCCTTGAGATTCAGTGTGCTGGTGTGCGCAAGAGGTCAAAGACCTTGTCAACAGTGATGGGTCTTCTTGACCTGCTTCAGTTGCTGCTGCTTTGGCAGTGACAAGGAAGAGTGGGATTGTTTGTTTGCTGCACAATGTGCCTGAGATCCATCAGGCGCTGCATCAGCCAGCCTGCCGTGGGCACCCCTGGGCACACAGAGCTTCGTCAGACTTGTTTGTTGACGCCCGCCCTCATCCGCCCGAGCGTCTATGAGGCATGTTGTGACAGAGGCCCATCCGCGGATGTGATCTTGCTGCTTGCGAAGAGCCACCTGGGGGGTGAGAATCCGTTTGTTGGCCAACATTGGCCTCTGAATGCAGTCAGCCAAGCGCTTGCGCACCCCAACTTTGACTTGCTTCTGGCTGTTTGCACAAAGTGTGCCCGCGTTGGTTTTTCTTGGCTGGTGATTATTCAGTGCCGCCGGCTGGGAAGAAAAACTAGCTCGCGTGTGCAAGCCGGTCCCTTGCCTCTAGGGACTCCGGAAAAAACACATGCGCCATTCAGATCATGCCCGCTCGCTTCAGTTTGATCGAAACTAGGTGAGATTGCCTTGCTTTCAGCTTGGTTCTAAACACTCAGCCCATATGTTTTTGCTTGGGTATCCGTTTTGACCACAAACTTGGGGTGATCCTTAAAACCGGCTGTGAGCCCGGAAACAAGAAGGGAGAAGTAAGGGCTAGAAAGGGGCGAACAATTTGGGGTGCGACCGAAATGTACGAGGCTGGAACAAGCCCAGTTTGGCACCTATCCGTTTCTGTCGACCAACGCAGCCCGCAGGAGGAGGGCGTTGGTTGTGCGAAGGAGGCGGAGGGGCCAAAGCTGTCCAAGAAGGAGGGTGCGGCCGAGTCACTTGTGCAAGCTTGGGTATCTTGTCTGTGCTCAGTCGGGAATGCTCCAGGGTGTTGGGAGTGAACGTAGCGGTCCGCAAGCAAACTACAAGGGATTGTTTGTTGGGGGCATTCCCTCATTCCCTGCTGAGCACAAGCAGGGTAATTTTGACCTCCGGTTTCTCCGGACTGTGCAAACAACATCAATAGAAGTGCTTCCCGGTTGTCAGGAGAGGCATGATCAAGTTTAGGCTGGTTTTACCTGAATGGCATGGCCTTCCAGATAAACCCAACATGAACATGGGGTGTTGGATTTGGTCTGCCAAGTTTGCTTCATGTCCTTTGTTGTTTTTGCCCTTGTGGGTGGCTCGCCTTTTGGATGCTCGGTACTCATTTCTTGGTGCTTTTAAACTGGCGCCAACAGGAAAACCGAAACCAGTTTGTTTTTGGGGTGGGCCCCCAACCGAAACCAGTTTTTGTTGGGGGGCGGGCCCCCTAAAAGGGCACACCCTTGGGGATCCCACCAACAAAAAATCGTGTCTCTTTGTTCCCCGCGTCTGGCCAAACAACACAAATACCCGATCTTACATGGGGAAGGCGACCCTTCTGGGAAAACGCTGGCCCCAAACCAATTCTTTATTCAACCAGCAAAAAAGTACATGATTGAATGGGGGTCCAAGTCTGGCCCACGTAAAGGCTGTGTATTTGGGAGTGGCTTTGGGTGTCCCAGGAGATTTACTTTGGATGAGCCCTTTAAGGCTTTCAACTGCGTCGTTCAAGGCTAAGCCTTTCAAACTACCAAACTTTGAGTTGTAGTGTGGTGTCTTAAAATACCAACTACCACGGATAAGCAACATCCTGCACCAGTTGGCATGAATGCCCGCCCCAATGAAGTCTGGAAAAAGAATGAAACTTAGTTGCCTCCTCTATTGGACGAGGTGGTCGCTTAAGAATATGTTGTATTCGTGCCTTGTTAGTTTGAAAGGGCGCCGATTTCACTACAGGGTTTCTTGTTTTTCCAGGCGGCCCGTGCAATTGCCGGGCCCGCGGGGTCCAGGAGACCCGGCAGATCCTGCGGGAGCTACGAGTGCAGGTGGAGCAGGCGCTGGACGGAGGCGCAAGATCGAGGGGTGTGTGAGGGGCTGGGGTTTCTTAGTTCCGTTTGCTGAGGCTTTGTTGAAAAGAACAACTTCTTCTTTTTGTGAAGGGAATCGATTTCACTACTGGAAGTATGTTCTGTTTGTTTTTTGCCAAGGGGCTTAAGGAAATGGATGCCTACAAAGAGGGGGTTGTCACCAACTTATCAAAGGGCACCAAACCCCGCTGTGTTGACGGATTTTCTTGGTTGTTGTGCAGGTTGCAAAAACCAGTCTCGGGCGGTGTTGAGTTTGCTACCAACACGTTTTTCTTCTCGACCCGGCTGCCTCTTTCGTTCAGCAAACGGCAAGATGTTGCAGGTCGGGCAAGGCCTTACCCCCCGTCAATTTCTAAGCGTGGGGAACACCATTTTGGTGGTACCTCCCTTCCACTACTGTGGGTGGACGAAATCCATTCGCACCACGTTGAAACCATAGGAAGCCAGACCGTTGGTTTGGTTTTTTCAAGGGAATCGACTCCTTCCCGGGTTTCTCAGGTGGTGCGCTGGATGGATTTCGCAACCATCCACTAACATGGCACTTGACACACAAGGCCCCTCGAGGAAAATTGATCTGGGTGCCCTCCCGCAGGTGGCTTCTCGTCCAAAAGATGCCGCGGCCGTTGGCATCCAGAAGTCAACAATGGAAACCGGCGAGCCAGGAATTCCTACAAGATGTGGTTGTCAAATCCCCACCAAAACCCAGGGTTTCCGTTGGATTTACCTTTCCTTGATGGTTGCCATTTTTTTGGTTTAATGTTTTTAGCGTTTTAGGGTTTTGTGGTAGTTTCCACTAAGCCACTAAAAGTGCTCGACTTTTAGCCGGGGATTTGGGAGCAACCCGGTTCGTTAGGTTTTCTTTGTGTGCCGTGCGGTCCCAGGTTCGAGCCATGTAAGGCTTGGATTTCATGCCATGCGTCATTCGTGTAAGGCTGTGCCCCATGTTCGCAAATGGCAAGTTTCTACGTGGCGCTTTGTGGAGTTCTTCCAAAAACAGACCAGCGTCGGCGGTTTTCCCCGCCAGGCGAGGCCGTCAAGGAGGCCTGCGATGCCGTTCGCCGGAGCCTCGGTTCTGGCTCAGTGCACGCTGGGGTTTTGGTGGGTGGGCTGGGCTGGGCTGGGCTGGGCTGGGCTGGGCTGGGCTGGGCTGGGCTGGGTGGGTGGGGGTTTGGAGGCTCACTTTGTGGCTTTTTGCGAAGACCACTTTAGTGGTAAACAAACGGTTTGTTGGATTTTTTGTGACCAATCCACTCAGGAAGTGTGGGGGGTGGGGTGTGTGTGTGTGTGGTTTGTTTCTGTCAAAAAAATAAAATCAACATAAAGTAGCCTCAGTTGTTCAGTGGCTCCCTTTTTCCCTTTTTCTTTGGTGGCTGCCCCACTAAAATGGTCCAAGCCTCGAAAAGGGTTCCCTTTTTTCCCAGGTCACCGAACAACTGAGTAGCAGCAGAAAGGGTGGCCCTTCTTCCAATGGCCACCGGGGAGTTGGGTGTTGAGTTGGCTCTCTGCCCACAGGCGCTAGTACTAGGGTTCCAGGAAATTTCGGGTCTGGGGATACCACCTGTTTTTTGTTCGTTTTGCATAGTTGTCTTTACAATTTTCAAGCCCCAAAACGATTCAGATGCTTCTAGAAACCAGGTGCGCGCGGGATTGCAGACCACACGCCCACTGAGCATCCTCAAACTGCCCCACTTTCGTGGAAGCCTCCAGCAACCTTCCCTTAGCCTTCCCTGCAAACACCGGGCTGGCTGGAGTTAAGGGACGAGAGTACGAGAACGGTTTTATGCCCATTTACTCACTTAACAACCAGCAAACGAGAAACGTGGAGGTGTCCGCTATTTGTTTTATATATATATATATAAATATTATATATATATATATATATATGGCAGATGCTCCAGTCGATTGCTGAGGGGTGCGGTTGCAACGCATTTGTTGTAATCCTCCCTCGGATCATGAAAGCTGACTCGGAACAAGTTCAGCGCCCCTTCCAAATCATGTCTAACGACCGTTTGCTCAGAGAAGGGCAACCAAAGCTGTCATTTGGCGTTCAAAACGCAGGTTGTTGTCGTTCGAGAGTGAAGGGGTCCTTTTTGGCCTTTGGTTTCACATCCCCACCCCCCAATGGAGTTGGGAGAGGGCGTTTGGACCCCTGGAATTCCATTGATGATACCATTTTCTCTTAAGCCTCACCCCCCTCCCCTTCACTTTACGGCTATTTGGTTGGATCTTTGCACTGTATCGTTCCATTGGACCCACAAAAAGTGAAGAACTTTTTGCAGAGGGGTCGTTACAGCAACCAAGGTGAGCCCCCATTTGCTTAAGAAGATGTTTCTTCAAGTTTTCCTTTGTTGGTTTTAAAAGGAGTTTATCACTACTGTTTGTTTTTTTCCTTTTTTTCGGGGGTCTTAACCAAATGGAAGTTAAGGTCTTTCGAGCCTCGCTTCAGCCGAGGCTCCGCGGCCGCTTTGGTGTCCCCACAAAGCCTGGAGCCTCTGGTGCAGCGGCTGCTGGCCGCATCGCCACTTGTCTCAACCAGCAGGCGGTTGAATTTTCTTGATGGACTAAGTCCCAGTTTATTAATGGGGGGGTGTTCCCTCCAAAAGTGGTCTGATTCCCCACATTTCACCCAGGGACACCCCCGAGCAATCAACTGGGGTTGATTAATAGGGGGCTAATATTACCTAGGTCCCCCAGTAGTGCCCTTCTCTTCTAACCTCTCTACTGGAGGACCTAGTGGAGTTAGGTCTGCAGATGTCGCTGTCCTTTAGCAGGTCAGCTTTGAGAAATAGATGCAGGGTCCTTTGGTTTCAGTGAGTTGTGTGTCCCTACCTACTCATCTACCATGGTCAGAACTCAAAAGGACACGGAATGCCACACGGGTTCATACGATCATTTTGGAGCTTACCCGCACCTTTTAGTTCAAGAAGAGCTCCTCTTTTCTAGGGTGAGGACAAGCATGGAAACCTGCGCCGCAAGCGCAGGGTACTTCCTGTTAGTTGTTTTTTTTTTCAGCTTTACACATCACCTCTTGCCAGTTGTGGTTGGGTTTTCTTGGGATGATGCTTAAAGGGTACAGCTGGCACATGCTGGTACCAATATAAGGTTGTAAGACGTTATAGATCCCTTATATAAATTAAGTGGCATATAACCTCCACACCTCCAACACCCACACCCGAGAATGCTTTCGACCTTTCAGTTGTCAATTTACGGTGCGCCTCTTGCGGGGTGTTTTGCAGAGGCAAGGAACTCTGTTTGGTGACTTTTTGCAGGACACCTAAGATCTTTGGCGAGCGTAGGGAACCATGCAACACCCCTAGAAACAACGGAGATCTTCCAGTTCCAAAACCGTACGGAAACCTATTTGTGTCAAAGGCTGAGCAATTACACCCAAGAACCTTTGGGAACCCCAATCCTTCAACCCCCCCGAGAAAACATTGTTGGGTGTGTCTTCTGTCAAGCCCCCCAAAGAAATACATAAACAATAAAAACAATCCAATCAATAAAATTCATATACATATACATGTATACATATATATATATATATATGTATTATATATATATATTGTGTTTTTTCTGGGAGCAACCACAAGCAGTGCTCCCCAAAAACAGGACACAGCCCTTCGGTCTGCTTTTCGCGGCTTCGGTCGGGGCTCGCATCCAGGCCTCGGGAGGGCCTGCGTCTCTGCGTGGACCTCCTCAGCTTGGAGGAAGTCTCCTTTGGAGAGGTGGGGCCTAGCGAAACCAATGGGCAAAGGGGTGCGGATGGGGGGGGGGGGCGTGAATTTCAGGTTCCCATTTTCCAATTTTAGTTTAAGCCATTTGGTCTGAGAATCGTCGGGGTGGCTTGCAGGATGAGTTGCAAGATCATTTGGGAAGCCAGATTCTGATCTTTCCAAGGCAACCAGCAGGTTGGTGCTAAGCACAAACTCCAGCGCTATGCAGAAGCAGGGGGGGATGAGGGGGGGTGATAGGTGTTCTTTCTCGTTGTTAGAAAAATAGAGGGCGATTCCTGGTTTACCTGGCGGTTTAATCATCTACCAGGGCCATCTATTTCCCCTAAAAGGACACCTATGGGGGGGGGGTGAATTTCAGGTTCCCATGTTCCCATTTGATTTTTGACAAAGTAGGTGACAAGAATCGTCCACTTTGGTGAAGGAACTGGACTTGTGAATCTCAATCATGGTTCGTGGTTGGTTTACTTGCAATATGGCAGGGGCAGCCACCGTGCCCAAAGGATGTCCAGCAATGCCCTATGAAACTTCACACCCATACTGTGGATGGACGACATCCGTTCGCACCACCGTTCAGAACCCCTGAAATGATTCGATTCCTTTGTAAATACTGACCAGCAGTGGTTTTTATGGCTTCTTGGGTGGTGCAGGATTTCGTCCGTCCACAGTACTCAAATTCACGTCTTCCACGGTGCATGTGCCAAAGTTCCTCGGGCCGGCACTTAGACGGCACTCAGACGCCAACAATAGATGAGATAATTCCTTCCATGCGGGGGTACTAGATGATACATCCAGCATGGGGGAACTGTGTCATCTAGTTTTACCCACTGGGTGCTAGAGACCAAACTTTGTTCCTCAACAACATGTACAGCCAATGTCAATTTGTTAGTGCATGCAAATAAACAAATATATGTATACGCATGTATTGAGTTCTCTTATTTATCAGCATGTTATCCTTCATATTCTTTCAGAGCCCCCCGCCTGACACCATGACACCGGGCCCTCGCCTGCGAACACTGCGAACGCCAGGCCCTGCTGTCAGTTTTGGTGTCCGTACTCGTGGAGGTGGCTTCGCCGGGCGCCTGAGGGTGGGCCCCTGACGAGTCGGTGGGTGGAATAGAGCCGTTCCGAAGCTAGGTCCCCCAGTAGTGCCGTTTCTCTCCCTTTATTGGTTGGGAGGGTTCGTAAAATAGACTACAGAAAAAGTTGGCACCCTTATTCTAACCTCTCTACTGGAGGACCTAGTGGGGATGTCCAAAGTTGCTGTTGAAAGGGGAGCTTGCCCAACTTGACTTTTAGTCAGGCCCCCACTTTTCTTTTGTCCGCTGACCTGCAAGTGAGAGCCTAAATTCCGGAAGCACGCAGCAGGACAGCCTTTGGGTCACGCTATTGACTTCAGTGTAGCCCCTTGTGCTCAAGACGCCGCCTTGATTAGAAGGGCGTAAGCGGGTCTCGGGTGTTGTAGGGCTCTCTCCCACTGATTGCCTCACTCCTGAACTTGGTATGCGATTGGCAAAGCATCAACCACTTTCAGCGAGGTGTCATTGAATTGTTTTTCCCAAATACTATTGGAAGTGAAAGGTTTTCCATGGCCAAATCAAAACGTCCTCCAATAATTCTACCATCCAGCCTTTGAAACAAGGACTGGGGGCTTGACCAGCCCTAAAGGGTTCGTGAGACAGAAACCTTCATGCTAGCTTTCGTGCAACACGGCCCATCCACTGAGGAAGTGAGTTCAGCCTGCTTTTGCGGGAGCGGCCTATCAGTCAAAACCTCAGGTTAACAACAGGCTTGAGTTGAAACCGGGGTCCTCCCCGAAGGAGGTTACCAAATAGGTTTGTCTCAAAGAGGCCCCCCCCAAAAACATAGTTGGTTTTCCGCTCGTTTTCCTTTAAGCCAGCCCCACAACGGGGAGCGTCACAAAAAGCACGAGCCCAAACGTCAGCACGAGCCCAACGTGCTACTCCTAGGCTCGAGATCGCGGAGCAGGTGATGCTGCACGCAGCCCGGGCCCCAGAAGATCCGAGCGGTGCCCTCGAAACGGTTCGGAAATCTGACCTTTCAGCTTGCGGTTCGCGGCGGGTCGACCTGAAAAATGGCCAGGTTTAGTTCCGATTGTTTTTCTTTCCTCTCGGTGGTTCCCATGTTCAGCCCCAGAGGGAGAACTCACCTGTTGATAAACACATGGTCCAGGGCCGACAAGGGCAGGAGAGTGAGACATCTGATGAAACCTTGAAACTCGAAACGTGTTGAAGCCCAAGAGAGTAGGATATCGCATCGGTTGGCATGTGGTTGAGTTGCTTGGCTGTTGTTGGTTCTTCAATATTTTCTGTTTGCAAATCCTACAATAAACCCAACACCTGAAATAAGGGATCCCCGAAGAAGGAAGCTACATCATGGATTTGCTCGATTGACCTCCAGGAGAGCTCCCCAAAAGCGGGGCAGATTTATAGCTGGCTGCAATGGTCGGAGGGCAGATAGATGACTTGTACATCCATGAGCTTCATTTGCTGTGCCTGAAGCAAATGGTTGTTTGACCTTCGTTCCTGTCCGGTCTGAGCTAAAATCGGCTGCATGGTTTTTTGTTGGGCCTCAGCAGCTTCAGTTTTGTTTCCATACTGTGGATGGAGGAAATCCGTTCGCATCAGTTTGAAACCATGATGTCATGATGTTGGTATTTACAGGGGAGTCATTTCCCTTCTACTGCTGTTGGGTTGGATCTTAGACTTTAACGGGTTTATTAATCCGGGGTCAACATTATGGATATCGTAGAAAGCCAGCAGCTTTCTGCGGGTCACAGGTGGCGCTGTGTTGCCTCTGTTCGGTGGCCTTCCGTTTGAACCCGGGCCACGGGGCAACGGGTGCTTCAAGAGGAGTCACTTTAGCTACACCAGAGTGATTACTTGGCAAACCTATTTGGCAAAGCAAGCCAAACATATTTGGCAAAGGGCGAGTTGTTTGTGTTTGCTCTGTATATTTAGTATTGGGGCGGAACTCCCTCCATGCTGCGGAGGCTCCGCGAGGGCAACGTCTGGTGGGGAGTATTGCGGAGGCACTCAGCGCAAGTCATGGCAGTAAGATGTGTGTTTTCCCGCAAGCGTATGCAGTCTTGCAGTCTTGCGGCGTCAGTTTTGCAAGCGAGCTGTTTTTCGTGCCTTAGCCACTTCACGTTTGTTTTCGTCCGCAAAAACGTCCAAGCGCGTAGGATCACAAAGTGGCTAGGTTTTCAGAATCCAGGCGTTTCCATTCCGGTGACCTGATTCGTAACCGCTGCGCAAACTCAAAAATCCAAAATTGCTGCTAACCATAATTGCTGCTAACTCCCGGACCTAAGACTTCCATTTGTTTAAGAATATGTGTTATTTCCCCTGCTGGTTTTAAAAGGAATCAATTACTACTGGACCATTTTTTTTCCCAGGGGGCATTCAGCTCCCCGGACTGAGCTGCGGGGCGTTTTCGGGAGGCGCGAAACAAATTGTCGAGGTGGCCACAAAGCGCGCCAAGATGCGCACCCTGCAGCCGGTGCGCCGGCCCCAGCGAGCGACGCGGCGACCCCATGTGTTCCATAGCGTCTTGGGATGGAACAACCTGACTTAAGGGGCTAAAGAATTAGTAGTTGGGTTTGGGTGGCTGGTCTTTGGTGTGACCGAATCTTCCCGGCAAGACCCTTTGTGTAAAACATGTCCCTATCCATTAAACCACAAAAAGGTTGGACATTTTGCTCAATTGGAACAGTTGTGGGATACATGGTTGTTTCTGCTTTGTGCAAACCTTAAATTAAGGTTGTTGCGTGAAACCAGGTGGTTTTCCTTTGCGTGAAACCAGGTGGTTTTCCTCAACGCCAACCAACAAAGATGCCACTTACCCCAAATGGACATGCTAACCAAAGTCAGGAATAGAGAGAGAGAGAGAGAGTCTCTGAGTTTCTGGGTCAATTTTGGTGCAACACAGTTTAGGGTTGGGGGGGTTTCGGGCTTCTGGGTAAGGGGGGGGGGGGGGTATGTGTCTTCCCTGAAGAACAAAGCTGAGCTGGCAGCCTGCGTTTTGCGGGGGGTGGGGGAAAGGGCGACAAACGTAGAGTTCTGGGCTATGTTCAGACTTTTTGGGCCAACTTATTCAGGAAGTGGTCTTCCAACTTGTTGATGCGAAGGGGGGGAAATTCAATGACCCCAGACCTCCGTCAAAAGGTGGTGCCTGTTCTGGAGGGGTCCCACTCTCAAATCAAATGTCCCAGAGAACGTCCACTCGTAAAACATGCACGTCGACGTTTGTTCCCCCAAACCTGGGCCATGTTTGCAGCACAAGGAAAACCAAACAATATGTGCCATTTGTTGACTCAGGTTTGGTCTTTTTTCCTGATTGGGTGGGGGTGGGTCAAATGGAGAGCTTGTTGGTTTGGACTTGGTGCAGGCTGGACGCTTTTTGCAGCGCTGGGAGCCTCACGAGGCGAATCGCCGGCGAACCGGGAATCGACTCAAAGCTCAAAGGGCTGGAGATGGCATCATCACTGCCCCGCAGATTAACATGGAACCCCCAAAAACACCATTTGCAGCAGAAACTGGGTTGGCTTATGATGGCTTATAACCCCCGAAAAACGCCATTTGCAGCAGAATCTGGGCTGGCTTATTGCTGGGGTGCCTCCATTTCCCTTGGAGCATCAGGTGGCAGTCTCAATCCTGCTTATTGAGTTGGTACTTTTCAGGGGGGGAAAACCCAGTAATCTTGGTGAATTATAACGACCTCACACGACCTCACCCCAAATGGTGGTTTATGTGGAGAAGACCCCCCCAACCACCTTACACCAGGTTGGTGAAATATTCTACTTCACCCAGAGCAATTCTGGCCTCTCTGCAAATAAGGCACCCCCCCCTCCCTCGAGAGAACCGAAGCTAGCCTCCCAAATCCAACGCCCCGCTGGAAAGCGACGAGGCAAATGCAAGCGCAGCCTTTCGGAGGGCTGAGGGCTGAGGGTGCTTCCATGTGCCGAAATGTGTTTTTTTTTTTGAATCTTCCCCAAAGGTGCTATTTGGTACTTTTGGCATTTTCCCCTTTTTGGTACTTTTGACACAGGTGACACAGGTGTCTTCCATTTGCTGAAATGAGTATGTTCTATTTTCCCCAGAGCGGGTTTTAAAGGGAACCGATTTCACTGCTGGACTTCTTCTTTTTCCAGGGGTCTTCACCAAATGGAAGAGTGGGACGTCGACGGCACACATATTGGCAGTAGTAAAAGACGCCCCTTTCCGCTCCCAGTCAGTGGGCAAGACCCTCAAGCTGTAGCCTCGCGTGATTCTAGCAGCCTCAGTTGGGAATGTTGCCAACCTTGTCCATTCTTCCATGAACTCAGGAAACCCCACACACAAAATGAGGAAGGTAAAGAGAATTGATCTCCATCTACCAGTTTAGTTCTGGCGGCAAACCCGCAGAAGGAACCAAACCGTTGAACCAGCCCGTTGCCGGGGAGTCTGCTTGAAGATGGACAACCTCGGATCCACCGCAGCTCAAAAATCTGAGCAAAATCTGAGCAACGCTCGACATACGCTGAGCAAAGCTCGATGTCCACTACCCCCAACCCGAAGCTAGCCGAAAAGGTTATTGGGATATACTACCACTGGAAACCATCATGGAGAACCGAACTTTTTGAGGGACCTGCCTGGAAAGTCACTAAGGATTTAGTTGTCTATCCGTGGCAACCTGACCTGTTGACATTTTCTTCCTAGGTCGTGGACTTCTTTCTCTACCTTGTACTGCTTAACGGGTTACGAATCAAGGCTCGGGGATCCCCATTTCGAGCAAGCCGACTGACCTGAGTTCGGGCCAAGCTCGATCGCGCAGGTTGCAGGAGACCTTTAGCTCCGCTTTGTGCCAAGCGGCTTGAGGGTGGGTGTTCCATATTTGTTCTGGGAATGGTCGAGAACAGCTGGGGTTAGTTTGTGTTCGCCTTGTTTACATTTGCCAAGGTGCCATGTTGGGTACCATATCTTGAGCCACAGCCATATGATCATGTATCGGTGTGTGTTTGTGTGTCTTGTTCTGAGGGAAACTGCTTTGGGGTGATTTTCAAGGGAAGTTTGGCAAGTCTCTCATTTGGGTGTGACTTGCTCTTCTTTATCTTGGTGATCATGTTAACTTATGTTTGTACAGCCTTCGGTTTAATGTTTGTTTCATGCCATTTCTGCTGTTTGTTGCAGATCTCCACCAAGTTTCTGAGGCCAGTTTCTGGCCGCTACGGAGACTCACACATGTTCTTGTTGTTGGTAGACTGTCTCCTTGTTGGTCCATTATAGTCATGGCCCGAAATGGTTAACCTTTATTTCCAGATCGTTTGGGCAAGTGAGTGGAGGTCTTTGCTTCTTGAGGTTCCAATACACATGCGGTGCTTTGAGCCATTGGGTATGTCCGGTATGCTGGTCGCAGTGATTTGAATGCCGTGCGGCTACTTTGAAGCCAAAATAGTTTGTGATGGAACTCATTGTGGGATGGGGGAAGATGGCAACCATGCACATGTGTGTCCCGCGGATTTTTGCCCTTGTTGTGAACCCTGTGTGTGTGTGTGTGTGGGTGCGTGCGTGCGTGCGTGCGTGCGTGCGTGCGTGTGTGTGTGTGTGTGTGCCTTTGTGCCTCTGTGCCTCTGTGCCACCTCTGTGTGCCTGTGCCTGTGCGTGCGTGTGGGTGGGTTTATTTGTTTGCTTGCTTGCTTGCTTGTTTGTTCGTTTGTTTGTGTGCGTGCGGTTGTCTTCAAGCAAGGCCCCTGTCCCGTTCCCTGAGAACCCGCCAGCGGTCTCCGCGGGACGGGCGACACGCCCAGGTGGTAAGGCCGTGGGTGAAGGCAGACCGCCTGCGCCTGAACGGCCGGGCCCTTGTATGAGTGTTTTTGCGGGTCCCCGTTTGGGTTGCTTCCGGGGGCACCCTCTCGTTCCACAGTTGCCTCGTTTAAGGAGGGATGTTTGTTGCTTCCGTTGCTGCCCTTGTTGCTTCAACAAGCACAAAGTCTTAGGCAAATTCCATGCGACCCAAAATGCAGACCCACACGGCTTCAAAAGAAAGGTGACCCCTGAAATTCTGAAATGGTGTCTTTTTCAACCCAACCAACGGCTTCAAAAGCAAATCGGGGACCCCGTATACACTTTTAGTTTTGTGGCGTCATGGTCATTTCTATCCGGTACCCCTCCTGAAATCTAATTTTGACGAGTGATGAGTGGGTAGTTGTTTGTCAATGCATCTCAGCCTGAGGCAAGAGGAAAGCCGCACGCTCTTTTCCGACATCACTTGCAGGGAGGAAGTCTTGGACTACCTTTGACTTTTCGATCGTCAGCCTAATGAAGGTTTGTGAACAATCACGGTTTTTTGAGTCCATGTCAATTTGATGAAAACCAACAACTATTCATCAATATGGGGGGTGTCCCTGTCTTTGGGGCCTCAGAACGTTTGGAGGGAGGGGGAAAACCCATGGTGATAAGCAGGTGTTTACTAAGCAGGGGTCAGAGTAATGTGTTTCTATAGGCCAAATTGACAAGGCGTCAAGACAGCACCCATTTTGCTTTGTCTTTCCAGAGTTGGTATCTCGTTTCGGTTCTGAAGGAGCGAAGAGTATCAGGGTTCCTTGAGGGATATACCTAAAACTCGCCTGGCACACGTAGTAAACCTTTGAAACAGCTGGTAATGTGGTTTGAGTTGACGATGCATCCCTCACCCCCTGAGTTCCTGGGACGTTAGAGTCACTTGTTTGGGTGGGCTTTAAGGCTTTAAGCTGTTCGGGTTTGGACCATTTTGGTGGCAAGCAAGCCAAAGGTTTGGAGTTGTTTTGGGCCCACTTCAGAAGCGAGAATATTTGTCCATTAACATGGAACCTGACAGCTGGGAATTCCTGGAAGACCATCCTGGATTAAAAGTTGAAACCTTCTCAGGCTTCATGTTAGTTGGTGCAAGGGTATCTTTCCGAAATTCCTGAGAATGGTAAAAACAAACGACTAGGCCGCGCCATCCACACGCTGCTGCGGGGCTTTGGCGGCAGGCTGGCTGGGCGAATGGCAGAGAGCCTACAAGCTGCGGCGATTTGGGTGTGATTTTTTTTGACGCCTTTTTTGGGTGTGCTTTCAAGGGAAACCACACGCAAACCGCCAATTTGGCAGGTGCCCCCCCCATTTTCCCGCATCAAACACATACAAAAGCCTCTCCCAACCGGCACTGCATTTTGTCGTTTCGCTTGCCTGATGATCCCGCTGCGGGTACTCATTCGAAGCTCGTTTAAAGCCCATAAAGGGCGGATCCCACATTAGAAGTGGACCAACCACATCCGAAACGCGGGTACAAGGCGTTTGTTTTGCTTGCGATGGCTTCCGACTTCCATACTTGCAGGATTTTGGGAATCAAGGGCTAGCTTGATCGATCAAGGCAATCAGAAGTTGGAATCGAGGGATGTCCGGCTCTGAAAAATTCAATCCATTTGGAAGACTAGATAATTGAAGGGCCAACAAGGTAAGGGCCAGGGGGCACGACCGATATTTCTCCCCAGCAAGCTAACGAATTGCGGCTTTCTGGGTTCCATGCTGTGGACGGACGAAATTCTGCACCACCTAAGAAGCTATGGGAAACCAAATTCCAGGGCTTCTTGGTGTCCTCCATCTACAGTGTTACTCTGTATGGGAATAGCGGGTGTCTCTCCTTAACGAAACCAAGTTGATCAACTTGTCCTTCCTTCCCGTCGAACGCCTTCGGAACCTTGACAGCTTTTATGAGCTGGCGTCCAAGTCGACCCGAGCTGTGGCAGTGGTTTGCCAACGCACGCGCCATCACGCGCCATCAACGAATTCTTGCAAGGCTTGGGCTTGGTAGGGTTGTCAACCCTGTTGTCGGAACGTGATTTCACAATTTCAATCCATTTGGTCACCAGCCCATTTAGAAGAACTCGGTTGTCAACCAACCCGTTTTGCGTTTTAGAAGAACACGCGCTCAAAACATGAAAGCTGCGAGGATGCATATGAAAACCGCAGCCATGGCCAACATGAAGACCTGTTGGTGGTGATATGGTTCTGCGTGTGGAGGTTGGTCTCTAGCCCCAGCTTATTTCCAGATGCGCTTTCTACAAGCAAGAAAGGGACGGCAACGTTCCCACTAACAAACACAGGGGGGTCGCAGCCGCCATGAAGCTTATACACATTCCCTTCGCGAGAAGTCACTCAGCTCCCGCGGATCGAGAAGTTCAGCTCCCTGGCTTTTGGACTTGAAACGTGGGAAATATTTCTGGGCTGTTCAAAGGCAATCCACAACATACTCACCCAAAAAAAATCAGTAGGACTTGGCCCCCTTTGAAGTGGAGCTCCAATAGGGCTTTTGGATTGTGAATGGCCAGCGCTCCATTTTGAACAGCCCAGATTAGTGGGTCAACCAGAAGTCTAGGCTTTTTCGTTACAGGAATGTTTCATTGGAGGGGGGGGCTCCACGTTGATGGGGGTATGCCTTGCATCCGGCAGGCCACAGGAGCAAGAAGCCGCCTCAGCCTCGGATACGGGAGATACGCTTCGCTGCGCGGACATAAAACAAACAGGGCAGGGTTGCTTAGCTTCCATTTGGTTAAGAATATGTTTTGCATTTTTCCTCCTGTTGGTTTTAAAGGCAATCTATCACTACTGGACATTGCCAAAAAAACAACTGAAGCAATTGGAGGTTAAGGGATAATGTTGACGCCGGAGTAGTAAACCCAAGTTTTAAAGTTTATCAATAGGGGGTGTCCGTGGTATAGTGGGGATTCGTTACTGTTGGAGTGGTACACCCAGAAGACGATTACAGAGGTTCTTCCAGAGCGGGAAAGGCTGCCTTCATCTGCACGCCTCCTTTCCGGTGTTGCCAAATGACATGTCCGGCCACCAGTCAGGTCAAGAAGGCCACTCTTAGCCTTCATTCACCGGGAATCAGAACTCATATTGCCCAACAAATCTGTTCATGGGGACCCGGGTGGCATCAACCCCATAAAACCGGCTTGCTTTTGTCTCCATAGAACATATCCTAGGTCCCCCAGTAGTGCCCTTTTACCCTTTTTTTTGGGGAGGGTTCCCAGGCAAGAATAGACTACAGAAAAAAGGGTACCCTTATTCTAACCTCCTCTACTGGAGGACCTAGCATATACCAAAACGGCCCATACAACCGAACGCGTCACTGGCTGCGTCTTTTCCACCCCAGGTCTTGGAACTTCTTGCGGAGATGGAGCTGGAGCCCACACCTTACACACCCGGATCGCGGCTTCCGTGACGCGTGAAGCTGTCCCATCGGGGCATACTCACGGAATTTGATGATCCCCGTATGCCCCGAGTTGCTGAAACGGCGTGCCAAGAGTTGCCATTTTGCTTGAGGCCGCAAGTTCCATGCTTTGTTGTGTTGTTTTTTTGATGCCTTTTGTTTTTGTGCGCACTGGACGAAATCCGGCACTACCTAAGAAGCCCTGGACGTATGAATCGCATGCAAATACCAGCAAACGATATGGTTTCCCATGCTTCAAAGTAGTGCAGGATGTCGTCCATCTACAGTATGTGCACATGTGCTGTTTGCCTGGTGCGCCTGCACACATTGACATGCATAGAACGTCACTGGCGTTCTGGATTCGAACTCAGCGTTTGTTCAACACATCGTTTTGTATTGCGGTGGGATGCGGTGGGTGTTGGAGGTTGGCAACCTTGGGGGTTTCTATTAAGGAGCCCCCTTTTCAAGCAATAGTCAGCAACCATAGGGGCCGGCAGGAATCCCGGAATCCCCGCAAACGGTATCAAATATTGTATTTTATTTTTGTGTGTGTGCTCTTTTGGAGTGTGTTTGAAGGGGGAAGTCACAGGGAAAGCCGTTTTCGGGGTCCCCCATGTTAGGTTAAACTTGATTTTAATGACTTGGTATTGCGTGCCGGGTTGTTGAGTAGGCATCATTGCGAAACATGCCCTTGTCTAGCTTGGCACCCAAGCTAGTTCTCAAGTGGCTCAAAAAGACCTGAAGTTGGCTGGGTCCAGCTGGCCGAGGCTGCCTGGAGAGTGGTTAGACAGGTGGGGCCCTGGGCTTGGGGTGGATGGCCTTGGCATGCAACTTTGTACCATGGGCTTAGTATAGCCGTGTTTTGTTGCGGGTACGCCTGTTTGGGCACGGGGAAAAGCCACTCTTGTGGGTGTCCCCTTTTTTAGCACCTAGCCATTCAGCCCCCTGTGGCAAGAAGGTGGCTGAGAGAAGCATGGCTCGGTTTGGATTCTCTTGGGCTTGTGCATGTTCTACCTGTTTGCCGGTCTCAGGAGCCCTGGAGGTGTCAAGGGAAACAATGACATGGGTGCGTCCCTTTCTCATTGTCGACCCAAGACGGGTTTTTAGTTTCCGCCAAACAGCACAAGTTGCCAATTTGGTTCGGTGCTTCGACACTTGGCTTGAACGGAGGGTCAGCCAAATGGTGAAGCCAAACAAGCCTTGACAACCATGTGGGCGTCTCTCAAAATCTGGCGCCAGCGGACCGCAGTGGTCTACCTTTCCACTTGCCAGGGTTCCATTTGGGGCTCCTATTTTGAGCCACACCCATGTCGCGGTTACCCCCCAGGCGGTTCCATGGAAGCTCCCAGGACCCCGAACTGGAAGACGAGCTTCCATTTACAGAGGCCCACCGAGCTTGCGGAAGAAGGACCATCCCCGAGTTGGTTTTCTTTAACTTGGAATCCCCTTCCGGTTCATTCCATTTCACATTCCATACCTATCGCGCCGATCGCAGGAGGTCGATTCGTGTTTCGGGCGCTCGCTGAGTTGATGGAAGCCAGGATCCAGCAAGTACGAGAGGGCGGCATCGTGGCGGAGCCCACCTTAGAGCCGAGCCCAAGCGGAGCCGTTGAGCCAAAGCGAGCTGTGCCGTGGCTTTTTTCTAGGGGTGCCCAACATAACATAGGTGTCCATTGTTTGGTTGGTTTGGTCGAAACATAGAGGGCGATTCCTTTTCTTTTTTTTCCTTCCGGTGGTTCAAGACAAACTGCCAGGGCCATCTATTTTCCCAAATGGCCAATGTTCAGCTCGGTTGAAAGGGAAAGGTAAAGGAAAGCCGCCGTTTTGGGGCCCTTTCAAGGTCGGTTTAAAGGGAAACGTAAAACCAAACGCCACCGTTTTGGGGCTGCAAGTCGTTTTTTTTTTTTTTTTTTTTTTTTTTTTTTTTTTTTTCCGAAGGGTGCCCTTTCCAGGTCTGTTTAAAGGCCAAGGGAAAGAACAGCCGCCGTTTTCCAAAAGATCCAAATCCCGATTTGGCCGCCTACCTTGTTGGCCCGTTCGCTTATTTTGTGTGGGACCCATCCCTTCTGCTGCTGTGTGGGTGTCAGGATGATCTTTTGACCTTTTTTGTTGTCTGATTTTGGTCCATGTGGGTGTGTCTGTTTTTGAGGATGCGATCATTAAACGGAGGGTTTTTTAAAGGGGAAGCCAAAAGGACAACCCGCGCCAAGTTTGCCTTCCATTTGTTGTTCAGACGATTGTTTTTCAAGAATCTGGAATCTGTCAAGGTGCCAAAAGGGCAACCTCTCATGTTCTGCAGGGGTTGGGAAGGTGCGTGGCAACCAGCAATTTTAGCTGTGCTGGGCGGGCACGACCAAATGGAAGCCTGCGCATTCTGTCTACTTGCTGGCCGTTTTGGCTAGCATAAAGTAGGCACTAGGTGTCCCACGCAGAAACTTGTGTCAGTGTAAACCACAGACTTTTGGTGCATCCCTGCTTGACGCCGCATGCGTATATCACTAGCACAGTGCTTTCTGTGCTTTTCGATGGGTTCGTGTTGTTTGGGTACGTTGAAGGCACTTTTGGAACGAACATGTCATTTAAGCGACCTTGTGGAGGGGGGGTTTGTGGGGTGCTTTGTCAAACATTGTTTCAGGACATGTTTGTTTGCCCAATCGCCATTACAAACCGAAGAAGCGCGACAACTACTGAGCCTTGCTTAAACGTAGCGTGGATGGACGATGTTGAAATCCGTTCACACCACCTTGAAACCATGGTTGAAACCATTGTTAGTTGGCATTTACAAGAGGAATCGAATCATTCCCTTGAGTTTCTTAGGTGGTCTAGGTCCGCCAGTAGTGCCTTTTACCCTTTTTGGGGGGAGGGCTACTAAAATAGACTATACAGAAAAAAGACGGTACCCCCTTATGCTAACCTCTCCACTGCAGGACCTAGTGGTCCATCCACAGGTCGTTCTAAACCCAAACCCCCCTGCGCCTCTGGCTGAGGACTTCGTCCTCTGCGCAGAGGTGGCGGCCAGCCGGGGCCCCATGCTTGAGCGTCCGGCGTGGTCCAAGTTGAAGCCAGAGCACCTCCCTGGGGACGCGAAATCGGCTCCTCGCACCGTTCTAAGAAACCCAAGGGAATGATTCGATTTGCCCAACAACAATACTACAAACGTCAGGAATTTTCTGGTTTCAACCATGGTTTCAAAATTGTGGGAAATGGATTTCGTCCATCCAAAGTATGAGTATGTGGCAAAAAGGGGGCCGCAACAGATTGTGTGTCTTCCATTTGGCTTCAATCCCCTGAAACTGACATGAACGTGGATACCATGGAGAAACACAAAAAGCGTTGACATGTCCTTACTGGCCGGGGACCCCTGCTTATGTTCCTTTTTTTTTGCATATTGGTGGCCTCCAATATCACCTTTCAGGCGATTTCAGAGTGAGTTTGTCTTTTTGCGTGGTTATGTTCAAGAGGGAGATTTTGAGAACCCTGTCAACCGAAGTGTGATTAGTTGCCAATCAGAAGGGCTGGAGTCTGATCTGGATTCGCACCTTGCGCCCACTGAGCCCAAAGTCCCAGCAAAACTAGTCGTGTTTTCCTGTAGCTTCCTCCTCATACCACCCCAAAAGGCTACCCAAACTAAGACACACCCAAATCTTGGTCAGATTCCAGGGACGCGTGCGGGAACACAGTCGGCAGACACCTGGCTAGCCTATCCACCAACCCTGTTGATAGTTGCCCAAAGCCGACCGCTTTGACCTTTTGGTTTTCCCCCCAGGCTAACATTTTAGTTCCAGTGCAAGTGAGCCGATTGGGATGGAGTGTTTTTGAGGCACCATGTTTTTTGACTGGTAAAGAAAGAGCTTGGAGCAAGCCACCATTTTGGCACATTCCCATCGGTCTTTGAACATCAAGCAGCCCATGAAGCAGCCCTGCAGCCCACCCATCCCAGCCGCCAGAAATGCGAGAGCCGAGCAACACTGACACTGGCGAACCCCAACCTTTGGCTTGTTGAAATAGCAAAAAGCGGAAGGTTCTTTCGTTGCACCCCGGTTTGTTCTTCTTCTTTTTTGTAAAATAAAAGAGGGCAGTCCAAGTAAACGTATGAGACGGGCCAAACAGACAAACCAACAGGTACCCGTGTGCCCACTCTATGTCCGAGGCCCGGCAGCACTGGAGCCTCCGCCGCCGGCTTCGTTGGAGAACTGCGGTGCGCTGCTGCGCCCGGCCACGCGGCTCGGCAGATCGGTTGCTCCTTGGAGGTTCTTGGGCCCCCCTTGGAAGAACAAAAAAACGCAGAGGGCACTGGCAAAGGCGTCTTTGCCTGGCTCCCAGCCATCCGGTTTCTGAGCTTTGTAGTGATTCAGTGGTAGTTTCCGTTTCACCAGCTAAAAGTCCATGGCCCGCGGACAATTTCCTGCCAGTCATGCTACCGACACATTGCATGCGGGAAGGTAAAAGTCAAAGTTGTAGCAGAGGATCTGAGAGCAGCCCAGTTTGTTGATACTCACTTGCAACCAAAGCGGATCGACTGAATCTGACTTGTTTGTTTTCTGGATTTGGTCCACTTTGTGTCATGGTCCCAAGTATCCCCTTTTTGGTCTCCCAAAAAAGGTGTTCACTACTTTCCGACTTTGGGAGGATGCCTTCTTTGTTGGGGCGTACTCCAACCCATAATGGACATGAATCATCAATAGTCCAACTGGGTTGTGAATCAGTTCCTGGGTTGTCAGGGGTTCTTCTATGTGCCCTTTTTGGAAGATCTAGCATGTCAGTGTCACGCCGGTTTCGTTCCACATGTGTTGTATGTTGAGCCCAGTAACAAACCTATCGGATAAAGAGAGTGCTTCGTCAAAGGTTCTAAGGGCTTTTGTATTACACCCTGGGGATACACCCACTGGGTATTGACCCCATTTAGGCACATTTCCGGATAAAACCGTGAAGTTTTGAATCATTCTGGGTCATTTCCCAAGGGTGTAGCAATCCCTGGGTGAAACGCAAAAACCCTCAGAAAGGTAGGGCGGGTTGACGGTAGTCCTGAGTTTCCACGAATCAACTAGAGCAGCTTCGTGGCCATGGTGAATGGGTTCGTCGTCGTAGATGGCGCACTCGAGGCTGGAGCGCTTGGAGGCTGTCATGACAGGCCGCTTCTTGTGGGGCTCTGGGGGCGTCAGAAAGAGAAGGAGAAAGAGAGACTCAGTTGTTCAAAGCCGACCTTGTGACCTTTTGGTGTTCCTATTTTTGTCCATGTTTAGTCATGGCCCCAAAAGGTTAACCTTGTAGTTCTGGGTCCTTTTCGCAACTGAGGAGAAAGAAAGAGATGAAGCGTACAGCAAAAGAGCGCAAGAGAAAGATAGAAAGAGAAGGATAAGTGAACATCAACGAGATAAAATGAGAAGGAAAAAAACGATAAACATAGAAACAATGATAATGAGAAAGAGACAAATATAAACAGGAAAATAAAGATAAACAAGAGACAGACAAAAACGAAAGAGAGAGAGAGAGAGAGAGATAAAGAGAAGGAGTAACAACATCATATTTGTGGTATTGTCTGTTGAATTGTTGTATAATGGTTTTGTTGATTCTATATTTAGATTATTCATATAGAGGATGTGTAGGTACACCTAATTATTTGTGATAGAGATTAGTAAGCATAGAGCGTGGTATTGTTGATAATTGTCTTGGCTTTGTACAAATGATATATTTTGCTATACTTGTTTGAGAGGGATGTGGTGAAAGACAAATGGGAGAAGAGGAGTAAGCTGAATGGATGTCGAGAAAGATAGGTTGTCGGTGGGATGTATTAGGAGATTCTGAGGTATTTGCATAGATTTGTAAACGCTTCGCGTTGCCTGCCTTGGCTATTGGGGTATTGTTTGTTGGTTTGCTTGGAGGTATGGTGTTTATTTGAATGAGTCAAACGGTATTGACATGTATGATGGAGGGTGGGTCCTTTGAGGACTTTAACGAGAGGCATAAGCTAAAGAAGGGCAGTGGGTTGGGCCAGAGGGCCTTGGCTCAGGAGCCACCGCTTGAACCTTTTTTTGAGCGGAATTTGACGGGTTTTAGGGGGACCCGGTTGTAGCTTTTTTTGGGAGGATTTGATCGGTTTCTAGACGGGAATTTGACTGGCGTCAATCCGTTTTTTCCCTCTCTCTTTTTTTTTTATGTGGTTTTGATTTTTGACCGGAATTGGACCGGTTTTGACCAGTTTTTAGGGGGCTTCGACTGGTTTCTGGGGGGATTTCATTGGATTTGACTTTGTTTTTAGAGGGGTTAACCTTTCATTTCTGGGCCCTTTGGGCAACTGAGGGCATTGGATGCGGAACCAGCAAGATTATTGAACTTGGAGAGGAAACCGCAAGGCTTGAGGCTCGCATACCGCCCCAAACCTGCAAACCAATATGAACCACCGATGTTGTGGGTGTGCCGTGCCGGGCATGTCCCCCAAAAAAGGGCCGGTGTCGAAATCGCAGGTGGCATCACCTGCTTTGCGCGCGGCTCAGGCCATTTTGGGAATGGGCTCGTTGAGAGCAATGGTGAATGCCAACTCAATATTGCAAATAAGCCAAGCGCACACCATGGTTGAATCTACGGTGGGTGTCCTTTGTTACTTTGCCTCACTTGCTCAAAGCCGACCTTGTTGACCTTTTGTTTTTCTTTTTTTGTTTGCATTTTTTAGTCATGGCCCCAAAGGGTTATCCTTGCTTTTCCAGGTTCTTTTTTCAAGTGAGTTGCAATATGGCAAGGGCAGCCTGTGAGAGCCTTTGGGTTCTTGACTGAAGGGCGTCCATGTCATGCAACCAGATATGGCGCCCCGGCCCATTTCGTTGGATGTGCAAGGTGTACCTAGCATGTGGTGAACAATCATGGCTGTGACTAGCAAATGGTCGCGAGGTTCCAGATCAGCTTTAAGCATGGCTACCAGCCACCTAGCTCACGCGCTTGCTTTAAGTGCCCAGTTCCGTTGTCAACCTCTTTTCATGCGACCAGGGTTTGTCTTTTGACCCCTTAGTTGAACCATATGACGCGTCTGCAGCTCTCTTTACTTGGCTTGTCCGCAAATGACACCAACTGGATGGTTCCCTATTGACTTCGCTGCGAAGCCAGACAACTGCCGGTTCCTCAAAACAAGAAGTCCAAGTGGATGAACAAAACTACCTTCAATGCTCCCACACGGAAGCCAAAACGGTTAGGGATCTTGTTCCAGACCCCTTACTGGTTCAGCAGAATGACGAGCCCTGCTGTCGTGATTCCTGTTACAGGGGTCCCCCATTTACTTTCCTTTAAACATGTCAAAACGTGGGTCCTTTTTAAGGCCCTCCTTTTGGTTGCTTTTAAGGGGGTAGGCCAAAAGGAAACCCAAAATCCATTCTTGGGCAAACTCCTTTTGGGAAACCAAGCTGCTTGGGGATCCTGAATTGAAATGTTAACTGCCGATGTGAATCAGCCCACCACTTATTAAGCGGGCAATTGATAAAGAATCACTGGGGAGGTTTGTTTTGTTAGTCAGGTGTCAAGACAAGAGAGACAAAAACAAGCACATCCGTTCCCCCCCCCCGCCCCCCCTCCCCCACCCCCCCCACCCCCACCTCCCCCTCCCCCACCCCCCCACCCCACCTCCCCCTCCCCCGCCTCGTCCCTCACCCCCCCCCCCCCCCCCCCCCCTCACCTCCCCCCCTACCCACCCCCCCGGCACACCCCACCCCGCGAACCGCGTTTCCGCGCGTTGCCCCGGAGCCGCATCGAGGTGGACGGCCCCAACGTGGGCTACCGCGGCGCGGTGCAGCGCGCGAGTTCCGAGGGCCCGCGGCTGAAAGGCGAGAGCCTGTGACGAGTTCCGAGGACCCGGAGACCTGCCGGCGGAGCTCGCCTTTTTTGTTAAAGGAACACCCAGCATTTTGGGGGCCCGCGTTGTTTGGAACTCGCCTTTGTCTGGGAGTTGGTTAAACAAAATCCCCCAGTTGTGTCCTGTCTCTCCCCTTTTTTGGGGGAGGGTTCCCTTAAAATAGACTACCGATAAAAGGTAGCCTTATTCTAACCTCTCCAATTGAAGACCTAGTTAAAGGAACACCCAGCATTTGGGGGTCGTGTTTGTTTGTTTGGACCACCTGTGTTTTTGTGGCTTTTAATCAAAAAGCCCACATTTTGGGGGGTCCAACAAGTAAACTTGTGTGCGCAAGTTGGGCCCAAACCGGATCAATCACCTTTCAATAGCGGGGGTCCCTCCAAAAGCGTTGAATCCCACCTATTTCTAACAGGGGACAGCCCCAATGAATCAACTAAAGGGGTCATTAGTCATTAGTTCGGGGGTACGGTAACTTTGGAACAGGTTCGGTCGGGTCCTCGTGAAAGAGACCGTTTTCGCATGGAGCCCGTCAAAACGACGCCAAATGAGCATTCGGCTCGGGAAAAGTACGGAATAGGCATAAAGCGTGCTAGTTCGCCTGCTCCATGCGGCCCTTTCTCACATCGACACTGCAGATTCCTGAAAGCATACGTCCAAACCACCTGCTTTGGTAGGGTGATTTTGTACGTCACCGATTTCGAATCCGTTACCATCAGAAAGCCCCGAAACGGAAGACGACTTTCGTACAAGTGCCTGTACGCTGTTATAGGGAGGGAAAGGTCTGGCTCTATGGATCCCAGGCTTAAATTCTGGATCCCTTTCGGCCAGCTTGCTTGGCTAAGGAATCTCAAAGCAAGCCCGAAAGTCTAGGGTGTGATTAATTTTCCATTATTTTCAAGCATCGTCCTTTCCAACCACCGGATCCGTTTTCAACCTGGGTTTCCGGAGGTTTTCTAGAAAGATCCGGATCCCTGGGTTCAGAATGGAAATGGAAGGTACCCGTTTTAAGTGCCCGAGGGCAATTGTGAGAACCGCCCCTGGCCTGCGACCATTTGGGTGTATTTATTTCTGTTGAGGGTGCCTTTTTGGGGCTTGTCTAAAGGGAAACCAAAGGAAACCTAACCATTGCGGGGGATCCCCTATTTTGACACATACCCATGTAGGACGGCCCACAAATGGTGGACAATCAGCTTTTGGCTTAAAAGGGGAACTAAAAACCAACAAAACCAGACCCCACATTCTCTTGAAATGGTACCCCCCTGTTTTCAACAAGACGATTTTCGACCAGAGATTTGAGGTGAGCCACAATCAAAACCTGGGTAGATGAAGGTTGGTAAGGGGCAGTCCCAGCCGGAAATAGTTGCGGCCGCCTTCTTAATTCTTGAAGCATGGTTCTGGGTTCACCATTTTAGTACCAGGTTTTGAGCAAGTGACTCAGGTGAGGACTCAAAAAAAAAGAAAGAAACGCCCCCCCAGTGACGTGGGAGCCAGGCGGCCCCAGGAACTTCCAGCGGGAGGAGGTGGGAAGACTCGACTCCAGGGGTGCGGCTGGAAACGAGGGAAACAGCGCCGTCGTCTTTTCATGGAAACCACGTATTGTTGACTCAAAACAAGGGACATTTCATTTGCAGGTTCCGGCACGGCACCCACAAGAAATGAGAATTCTAGGGGTGGATTCCTTGTCATGTTTGTTGTTGGGAAACATGTTTTTTTTTTTTTTTGGTTTTTTTTTTTTTTTACATTTTTGCTTCTTGTGGTTCGGTGGTTGAAATCCAACCACTGAACTGCTAAAATTGAGAATTGTTGCTCCCCTTCCAACGTCAACCAAGTTTTTTTGGAACCCACGTATTGTTGACTCATACTGTGGATGGTTGCGAAACCCGAATTCCTGCGCCAATTTGAAAAACAATGGTTGAGACCATGGTTTGTTGATATTCACAGGGGAATCAACTCATTCCAGGGTTTCTTAGGTGGTTCAAGATTTCGTCATATTTCGTCCATCCACAGTAGTTTTGTCACTTGCATCCATAAGTGTGGTCGCTGTAAGTGACCTTCCAAAACAAAGAAAGCCTGAATGCTTCCCCAGTTTAGTAATAGGGAGGGTGCTTTTCCCCGGGTGACATGTGGGGAATCAGACCACTTTTGGAGGGGAACACGCCCGTATTTAAGAAATGGGGTTGATGAATATGGGGTCAACATTATCGGATTGCAAGCGAAGCGCTTCGGCGGGGGGGGGGGGGTAGTTAGCCCAGGGTAAGCTCTTAGTAAGGCGGTCTGATTTTTTAAGGGTAGGGGTCGTAACCATGGTTGGAAATCACGTACTTGGCCAACTACCATGTCACTGTAAGTAGGAGCCCGTGTTGTGAGGCTCATGCTCAGTTCGGAGGTTGCTTATGTCGTGGCTGTCGGTGTTTCGAGTAGTTCTGAGCTGATACCCGGCAAAGTAGAATACCCCAGATCCCCCCAAGTTGACTCGCTTTTAAGGGTACTCCATTTTTGTGGATTTAAAGAGACACCAAAAGGAAAATCAGCATTTAGAGGGGGGCTTAAAAATACACACTCAAAGGAACCACGACCACAAAGGTAGTGTGGTTTCCATTGGGTTTCCTCGCCAAGTTTCTGACCCTTCCGTGCTCCCATTTCAGGGTTGATAAGGCATGGGCCGAAGAAAGCCATTTGCTTCAGGGAAACGGAACACAGCAAATTGTTTGGGTGCCAGATTTTCAAGTGTGTATTGGTTGCTTCTTAAGTTTCTTGTAATATGGGTGCGTTTTTCTTAGGGCCTCCCCCCAAAAAAATGGTGGGGTTCCCTGTTGGTTGCCCTTTAAAATCAAAGAAAGGGGACCACCTCTGAGAAAGACGAGCCGCCCATTTAGCACGCTTACAGGTGAAGCTCCCTGAGTGTGCTACGTGGCTAAACCCGAATTAAAATTCGGAAGCTGGGCTAAATGTTGCCACGGATGCACCCAAAAAAACAACTGGTTGATGTAGAATTAGGGGCTGTCCGAGTGGTTGAATCCTTGCGAAACTTGGCACCCCCTTTTCGTAGGTTGGGTAAATCGAAGGAAGGCACCTTTTGCCACTGACCTGACGCAAGAGCACGCTTTGCGCTACGACGTCAGCAAAAACAAATCCCCCCCTTCTCCATCTTAGTAGAACTTATGGTCTCGTTTAACGAGAAGCCGCCTGCGAGAGAGCAAACAGATCGGAGAAGGCCCAATGCCTTCAAGCGCAGCACTCTTCCACCATCTTCGGGCAGGTCGTGGAGAACCTCCATGCCCCCTACTTCCGGCACGACCAGATCGCCGCCGCGCTGCGTGAGTGAGGGGCCCAGCGGAGGGGCTTTTTGGGCTGAACCCAGCCGAGGGGACTCCAAGGAGTTCGGTGTTTACGGTGGTTGGCGTCTTTTCCATCTTCTGAAATGAATATTTACGATATTCTCCCCTGGTTGGTTCTACAAGGAACGGAATGCACTACTGGAAATATGTTTGTTTGTTCCGGGGGGCTTAGGCAAATGGAAGTGTTTGTGTTTGTCTTAAAAGGGTTTGTTCCCCTTGAACACCAACTACCCACAAGTTCTTTGTGTATGATTTGGAAAGTACCAGATATGCCTTTCTGTGACCCCCCGAGGGCATATGTAGTACACGGTTCTGGCTGGGGTCTTTTCCAAAACTATTTGAGACGTTTAGGGTAGGCAACATACGACCCAGAACCCGACGCTGTACATCTTCTAACTTGTCCCGACCTTGTGTCCTTTTGGCTTTCCCTTTTTGGGAATTGTATTTTCCGTGGCAACCCAAAACCTGCTTTCTAGGTCTTCCATTTGCTTACGAATATGTTTTTATTTTCCCGGGCCGGTTGATTTTGAATGGGAAACTATCACTACTGGAAATATGTTCATTTTTCCAGGGGACTTAAGCAAATGGATGAGGTCGCTCAGGGGCAGGTGAGTGTTTCGTCCAGACCAAGGTGGGCTGAGGCTAGGGCCTGGAAGGTGTTCAAGTCTTGGGTGCCCTGCCAGAGGTGTAAAACAAAAAAAAACGAGTTGTTGAAGCACTCGCCGAGTCCTCCTTGGATGTTCTTGAGATGTCTTTTCGAAAAATCGTGATGTCTTCTTCAGCGTCTTCACCTCGAGCCAATCCGGTCGATCTTTTGGATGTTCTCGTTGCTTGCCTTGTTGGTTCTAATGTTTCCACTGGCTGCCAAGACGGGGATGCCCTTGGACCCACTAACAGGTAAGCCACCAGGGGGGGCCGCCACCTGAGAGGAGAATGAGCCACAATCAACACCAGGGTCCCAAGCCACATGGATTCCGAGTACTTCCCCAGAATTAGCTCCACTAACCAGGCAAAACATATTTTTTTGCTGAAGTCCCTTTTTTCCAGCCAAGAACAGACCATTGTAGTTCCGATCGGTTTTGATTCTGACTCAACACGCGCTTCTAGGAGCATGAGGTTCCATGGACTCGCATCATTCAAGAACATGTTCAGTGCATGAGGGAGGGGTTCTTTGAGAATGGTCTCGGAAGGCTTATCCAATGGACCCGGTGAGCCACAAAGCACTTTCAAAGGGGGTACGGTCTGTCTTTCGTAGGCGGCCCAAAAAATATGGTTGGTTTAATTGGTTTCCTTGGTTTCCTTTGCTTTCTCTTTGGTTTCCCTGTTAAACAATTCATAAAGGGTATACCCTCTCTCCACTAACGCAACACCTGAGAGGGGGTCCCTACAGGGTGCCATGTGAGGAGGAAACAACCCTCAAACACGGATATGCTAGGCTAGGTCCTACTGAAGTAGACAGCAAAAAGTGCACCCTTATTCTAACCTCTCTACTGGAGGGCCTAGGATATTCTAGGGGTGCCCATTCCGTTGCTAGGTTCAGCCTGCAGGCTTTCCCCCCGGTTCTTCTTCCTCAGGTTGGCCACGAGATGTCAGGGTGCCCGGGGTGGCATTTGCAGCTATGGTCATTTGCACTTCTGTGGGGGTTTCTCACGGTGGACATTCTTTTGGTTCCTGTTCAGGTGGATTCCAAAAACAAACCAACTACTTTGGGGGACCGGTACTGCGTGTGATTGCGAACTCCATCTCGCAGCACTTGAGAAACCCTGGAATGGCTCGATTCCCATCTAAACGCCACAAACACGGGTTTCCCATGGTTCAAAGTGGTCCCACGGATTTCGTCCATCCGCATTTTTAAAATCGCCCGTACGAGCGGGCGAAGGGAAACGAGGACTCGTCGAGGACGCCCGGGCGTCACTTGTTAAGATCGGCCATGATACGCTGCAAGCTCAAGTTCCTTTTTGTTGGTTTTCTCTTCGAGATTCGAGGGTTTCACCCGCCGGGAGCCGTTCTGCGATGGAAGAACCAGGTATACAACTAGGTCCCCCAGCTAGGTTCCCTTTTACCAATTTTGTTGGTTGGGAGGGTTCCCTTACTAATTACTAATATAAACTACAGAAAAAGAAGGGTACCCTTATTCTAACCTCTCAAATCTGGAGGACCTAGACAACCACCTAGGCATGATGAAGGCAAATATACCGCCCACCCCCCTATATTCCCAGAAGACAATGCCGAGCCTTTCTGCAGGATGCGATCACTTGGGGAGCGCCCATTGGTGGTCCTGCCGGAGAGGTATGCCCGCAACCCAGTACTAGCATTCAGGCTTTGTCAAATGTTGCAAGTAGGTTGTCACCAGGTCAGCGGCCACTCTGTGATCTACATGTCTTATGCGTGATGGTTCAAGCATGGGTAGAGCATATGTGCCAGATGCCTGGGTTTGTCATGTTCTTTTCTGGGGTCTCCAAACATACTTGTATGTTTCATCCTGGGGTAGGCTGATTAATTAAATTTTGACCCCGATTGAAAAACAAAAACTGGTTGATTACTAGTGGACTATCTCTTTTAGTCGGCAGTCATCACCTTAGAGAAGGGGAAACCTCCCCTACAGTCATGGCAATTGCTATCATGGTTGTTGTTGGGAACATTTTACATTTTTGCTTATTGTGGTTTAGTGGGAAATCCCCACTTAACTGCTAAAACTTTTTGCTGCTCCCCTTCCAACGTCAGCCAAGAGGATTTACTCTCGCATCCACTCGCCTTCAAGCAATCTTTACTTGGTGCTTTGGGGCTTTGAGCCACTGGTGATTGTAGAGGGAAATGGGAAACCACCCCTCAACCACCAAACCACGAGTTAGAGGGAAGCTGAAACCTGACTGCCGTTGTTGAGGTCCGTCTGAGCGGAAGCTAGTGACATTTGCATGCGGTTGGTTGTGGCTGTTGAGGCATTGGAGCACGTGCGGTGAGATCGGGTGGTTTCATGTGAGACTCTTCTAGGCCCCCCGGCCCTTTACCCTTTTTTGGGGCAGGGTTCCCCTACTAAAATACAGACAACTTCCTTCGCAGAAAGTGGCCCAGGAGCCCTGCATGTTGAACAGCCTTTTGCCCATAGTCCACTCCACTTCAGTTCAGCGCGGGAAGGTGTGGGGCTTGATCAAAAAGGTCCTGGACGCATGGGATGATCATTGGTGAAAGCCTACAAAGATGATATGTCAACCACTAAGAGGGAAAAGTTGCCCATGGTCATTTGGGTGGGGACCAGGAATATTGTTCCACCCCCAAACGCGGGTTTGGAAAACAGATCATGTCCACAATCTGGCAAGAAGGAGCTCAAATACTGCCCCTTAAGAGGACTTAGGAGAAAAACCAACTTCATTAAGCGGACCCCTTAAGGCAGCTCGTTCGGGCTGTTCCAAGGGTTGATTCCTTGTCCATTCTATCATCGTTCTTTTCGAACACCGGATCCGTTTCCCTGGGTTTCCTTCTGGGTTTTCTAGAAAGATCCGGATCCCTGGGTTCAGAATGGACATGGAAGGTAGCACTCGGGTCATTGCTAAGTCCCAACTTGTGAGACCTCGGCCCGAAGAAGCTCAAGAAGCGCTGAAGAGGCTGAACAGGTTTGGCTTGCCAGCTTCCATAGCCAGGAACTCCGCTTTCTGCACGGATGGGTGGCAAGGTAAGACAGGGGCAACCAGGTGGGTTCTCAAAGTTTGGGGACCCCCAAAACGCGGATTCCTTTGGGTTTCCCTTGTCAAGACCCAAAATGATGGAGCTTTTAAGGTTCCTTAGGGTGCCGTAGAAAGCTTTGGGAACCCACGCGGATTGCTTTCCTTTGGGTTTCCCTTTTGAAACCAACCCAAAATTATGGAACATCTAGGGTTCCTTTGGCCCTAGAAAGCTTTGGGAACTCTTTGGACCACCCCCCCCCAGGGATTCCCTCTCAAAAGGGGGGGAGGCCTTCTAAGAACGACGCCCATTTGTCACGGGTCCGACGCAGGCCTTTGCACAGGCCGGAAAGCCACGGCGATGTTGTTGGGAGATCGCTCGGTCGCACCCTGCCCGGGTTGCCAGGGTCTAGGCTTCCATGTCATGAGTAGCTTGAAGGTCGGCTGGCCCCCCTGAAATCTCCCTCCTGATTAAATCCAGGGTCAACATGATTTTGCCGGGTGCTGCTTAGAAGGATCTTAGAAGGTCAACATGAGCATCCAACTTAAGAGGACATCTGTCGGCCCAAGTTGACCGCGTTGCCTTTGGCCCACCCTGACCGTGTCCATGGCGAGCCCATGCTAGTTACTCCTTGGCCGCCGGAGCACGGAGCGGGGTTTCTCAAAATGGGTGAGGTTTTCTTGCCCCCCCAAGAAAATAACATAAGAATATCACAAATAGGTTTGTTTCCTTTTGGGCTTCCTAAAAAGAAAACACAAAACAGGTACCCTCCAAGAGATGAGCCACCTAAACAAGAATCAGCTTGGTGTCCCCTTCTGGTTGTTCTTTGAGTTGTTTTGTGCAGCTGGAAGCTTGGACCCCGTCTTGGCAGCCCTGCAAAGTGGCAACTGATCACCTTCGTCACGCGGCCTTTTGGCCGTGGAAAAGATACTGTGAAGGTGCTGAGTGGCCTTGATGTCGAACAACTAAGCCAGCAGAGCTTGCCTCAGCTTTTTTTGCGCTTCTTGAGAAATAGGACTTTTGTGTTTGCCTTTGCCAGTGGACTTAGCTAACCCATATTCTTACGCGCGTCATATACATGGTAGGGAGACTCCTAATCTTGTGCAATAGGTAGGGGATCCGGTTTTGGTCGGATTCCCGAATGAAGGAAGCCAAATCGGATGGATGGTTTTGCTCGGGGCTATCGAACCATCGAGCTTTTAGTTGACTCTGCCATGAACCCGCAGTCAGGTGCTTCATTGGTTTGGGGCCCCGTGGTTTCGGGGGGCTGAAACTCCAGGTCCTTTGAAGCCAAGGCATCCCCGGTCCAAACGCCATTAGCCTGGTGCAATTTGTGTTGAAGGGGTTGGTTTTTTTGGTCAGCCTGGTGAGGAAAAAAAAGTCAGCCCTTGATGAACTAAGGGGGCCAGCCTGGATTTTTTTTCTTCCTCAAACTGCGTGCGCCGGATCCATCAACCGCAGCTGGCTCAAGGCTGGTGGGTTACGGCGCTTGAGCCCAAACCCCACCTTCCAGCGAGGTGTGGATGTACTTTCCGAGACAGGCTCCGTGAGGCAAGACATCTAGGCCACTTGGCTTTGCAAGGCTTCGCGGCTTCGGGGGCAAGTGGCGGGTCGATGAGCGATGTACAGATGCCGGTGGAGCTGAAGAAATTGGTTGTTACTTCGTGAACCGATTTCTCCGCCACACCACCCAAGCTGGACAGCTACAATCACAGCTACCATTGGGGGCACGCGCCGGGGCAACGGGCTCTTAAGGGCTGCAGCTACTCACACAGTACTCACACAGTTACAAAGTGCTTGTAGTGTAAGGGCCAAATTCAGACACTGCCTCTTATGACAAACATGCCAACAAATCATTCTACTATCCTGCAACTGGTTACAATCGTGTTACAAATACACCACCAATAGAACCAGCAATTAAACCAACAAATGTTATTGTGCTTTGCTATGACTTGGCAGGCCAACAAGGCCTCGGACTTTGTGAGGGGTGCCTGGGTCTTGACGTGCCCAGTTTGCACTGCTTGTATTTGTCGGTTGCTCCTTCCGGAGGTTTTCATGGAACTCAAGTGCCACCGCATGCAGGGGCCCCTACTGTGGATGGACGAAATCCTGCACCACCTAAGGAACCCTGGCATGATGATTCCACTGTAAGAACCAACAAAATGGTTGTCCATTGTTCTGCGAAATGGATTTCGTCCATCCAAAGTATGTTTCCCCTTTTTGACGGGTTTGACCATCACGAACGGGCCTTGTAGTACTCTCCCACAAACATGAAAGCGCACATGGCGCCCCTTTCCAAGAGGAAAGTCGTGGCTAGGTCCGAAGGCACTGCAGTCGGGGAGGGCATTGGTGCATGTTGCCAAGGGATGTTAGGACTTTAAAACCTTTTGCCAACTAATTACTGGGTTTTCCGTATGAAACCCTAAAATTAGGTCAATTAGGTGTCTCCGCAAGCGGATCGAAGCGTTCGATTAGACCACCAAAAGCTAAGTTAGTCACTTTTAGCAGGGCTTCGCAGATTTCGCCACCGAGTTTCTATGGTGACGACCGCCTTCTTTGCGCCGGTGCTGGGAGCGTGGAAGGGCGCCGCTGCTGCGACTGGGCGAATTTTATGTTTTTGACGCGGCTCGGGGTGGTGCTTTTTGATTAGAACCCGTGGATTGGAAATCGATTCCCACCCCCCTAAAAATGGAATTGGGGGAGGGGGGTGACTTCCCTTTTGTGGGGGAAGTAGGGGGGATGATTGGGATTGGGATGGATCCGGGTTGGAATGGAAAGGCGCATGAAGGGAGATGTTTGAACCACAAAGCTGTTCAAGCAACCTCCTGTTTTATTTTCCCTTTGAAGGGGACCAGGGTGAGTAAATATAGAAATTTAGGCTTTTTAACCAATCTTTTCGGCGGGTGGTTCTTGGGTGCTGTTGGTTTTTCCATTGCCAGCTGGTTAAACCAACCTTGATCAGCCTTCGGCACTGCCACGGTTGCTGCCCCCCCCCCCCCCCGCAAGGTGGGGGGACCCCAAAAAAAGGAACCCTATGATTTCCTAATAGGCCTTATTAGTCGCTACGACAAAATCCGTTCGCACCACGCAATGAAACCATGGTTGAAACCATAAAGTGTGTCGGTATGACGTAGCGGAATTCATCAGAAACCAGGGTTTCTGAACGGTGGTGCGTTGGATGGATTCGCAACCATCCACATGTACTAGCCCAATCGAATCATTCACAGTACGGAGACTCCAGGATTTTGTAGTGCAGGATTTTGTAGTGCAGGTGTAGATTTAACCCCGGATTAATCAACCCCTGTTTATTAATATGGGGGTGTTCCCTTCTAGTGGTTGGATTCGGGTTCCACTTTGGGAGGGGTTTCCACCCCCCGAATAGTGGCACGGGTTCTATTTAGATCCTGGGTCCATCCACAGTCAGGAGACCCGCAGTTGGGCTTGGAGCATCGGTTTTTGTTGGTGCCTAGACCGCTCTCGGCCATGCTGGGCCCAAGAAAGCGCCAACTAGGTCCTCCAGCTAGGTGCCCTTCTCCCCCTTTTTTGGTTAAGAGGAATCTCCCACTAAAATAGACAAAACAGGAAAAAAGTTGGTACCCTTCATGGTTGTTGTTGAGCAACATGTTACATTTTTGCTTATTGTGGTTTAGTGGTTGAAATCCAACCACCTAACTGCTAACATTTGAGATGTTTTGCTCCCCAAACCCAGCGTCAACCAAGCCTTATTCCAACCTCTCAACTCTGGGTCCGGACCCAGCGCCAATTTGTGAGGTGAAAACCGCGGTGATCACTGCCGCAGCGGCGGCCTCCCACTTCCTGCCGCACGGGGGGGAGGCACGAGGGCTCGATGGACTTGAGCGCTAGGTCCCCCAGCTAGGTGCCCGCTCTTTCACCCAACTTTTTTGGGGGGTTTTCTGTTTTTTGTGTTTTTTGTTTCTGCTAAAATAGACGTTTGTTTTGTTTCCTGTTTTTTCTACCAAAATAGACAAACAGATAAAAAGGGTGCCCTTATTCTAAGCACTCCACTGGAGGTCCTGGACTTGATCGTCACTTTTTGGGTTTGGTTGCCAGTTGAGTGGCAAGCAGCCAGTTTGGACTTTGTTTCGGCGCATCCTCTCAGGAGGTGAGTTTCTTGCTTTTGTTTCTAGCTGGATGAAAAGGGCGCCAAGAAACCCCAAATTTGCTTTTAAAGAGGGAGCCTTTCGCAGCCAGGAGTTCAGCAAGGACATGGTGGTGAGAGTTGTTTGCTTTTAGTGTCTCTTTTCTTCTTCTTGGACACATGTTTTTGTTTGAGCCTTTGGATTCCTAACTTGGCCCATTGCCAGTTAACTAAGCCCCCCTTGTTAGGCAGAACCACCCAAGAAGCCCACACCCTCCACATCTCGCCGGTGTTTAGACTGTTCTGCCGTTGTTTGTCCTTTTGTCCTTGTTTGTGGTCTGCGGGAACCACCAAACGATTTGAATTGTGGTGCCGTGCAAACAATGGTGGTGTTTAGACCAATCCTGGAAATGAAAAGGTACTCCCCAAAAAGAAAGCATTTCCTCTGGTTGTTAGCGAAAAGGTATGTTTTGAGGTTGTTTTTTTCATGGACGCTATTATTATCCTATGATCATGACCTAGTTTTGTTTAATCGTACTCTAATTCTTTCGGGTTTCGGGGTTCCTGGCTTGTAGTGTGCGTGTGTTCTCTGCCCTGCTTTCAGTCACCACAACTGCAGTAGCTTCCCAGACGCGTGCTGCCGTTTTGCCGTTGTTTTAGGGGAGGTTCCCTGTACGAGCCCTCGTACTTACCAAAGAAGAGTGCCCTCGTTGCCTCATCTCAATTTCTGAAAGCCAACCTTTTTTTTGTGCTTTCCACTAGGTCCCCCAGCCTTTTACCGTTCCTTTTCTGCGGTTTGGGGTCCCCTGCTAAAATGGACTACCGAAGAAAGTTGGTAGCCTTATCTTGCCTCTTAAAAACGCAACTTTTCAACTTTTTGGGTAACATGGGCTATATGTCTGTAAAATATTAACTTCCCCAGGGCTTGGAGTTTTAAGGGGTAAGTTATTCTGGAGGACCTAGTCCATTCTCCGTGGCCCCAAGATGTCAGCCTTTTATTTCCAGGTCCTTGCAGGCATTGCAGCTCCGGGATGCGGGTTTGGCATAGTAGCTTAGTCAACATAGGTGTCCAATTCTTGGTTGATTGGGTCTAAAAATAGAGGGAAAATAGAGGGCGATTCCTGGTTTACCTGGTGGTTCAATCAACTACGAGGGACACCCATCTATTTTCAACCAAAAAGGGCACCTACGTTAGTACACCTTCTTTGGCTCGGAGGGCATTTTGCGGAGCTTTGGTTCGCGTT